CTGTCGCACACACGTAGGTTCGCGGTACACGCACGCTACACCATACACTCACACATCTTTCTGTCGCCAGCACCTGCAGCCGGGGGGGCCATCGCATGTAACAACTGCGTAGCCCTCCCGCAGGCCTTCTCTCTCCCTCCCTCCCTCCCCCCGTGTTTGCCTTTCGGCACGCCGAACCGCGGCACTGGCGGGGCCGACACTTCAAAGACGCCCTTTCTCATAATTCGCGTGTTTTTCTCTTTTTTTGCTCTCTCTCTCTCTCTCTCTCTTCCTCCGAAAAGTATTTTACGGCTGTGTTTTTCACCCTGCGGCTGTGGTGCCGTGACAGGATTCACTGCACCCAGTGCAGCACACACGTTTATGCAGCAAATTCGCTTTTCGTTTTTTTTTTCGGGGGGATTTCCGGCTATCGAATCACGCAGCGCTCCATGCGAGTTTTCTCGGGTCCGATCGGCGTGTTAAAAAAGTTTCGCATCGTAAAGTCACTAGGGGCGAAAAAAGGAAAAAAAAGGGCAGGGAAAAGGGGGAAGGCAATCTTGGCGCCTTCAGAGAGGGACAGTATTTTCAAGGCTGACCGGATGTACGCCGGCTGGGGGGCGGAAATGGGAACGCGTCCACCTCCGATGAGAAGCCGGGTCGACCGCCCCCATTGCACCAACACACACACACACACACACACACCACACACACACACCACACACCTCTGCACTGCACATACGACACACGCGTGCGATATGCCGAGACGGCGCCCATTCCAGGGTCTGGCTGAAAGGAAAAAGTAACCACACCTCGCATTTCTCTGTCGATCATCCTACCACTTCAAAAACGAGACAGCTGCAAAAAAATGTCAACAATCCGCGTGCAAGTAAACTGGCTTGCGGAAAGTGGGCGCTCCGTTTTCCCCTTTATCTGCGGGAAAGCTAATGAAATTACGACCGGAATAACTATCTCAATAACAAAAGGGCGAAAGTTTCGGGGGCCGAGTGGCTATCTCTCTGACGTTCCCGACTGCCATTGTACCGCCGCGCCACTGTAGTACGCCCCTTGCGCATCCGCCGGCCCGCGCCGGCCTCTCCGGAATCCCGGCATTTGTTTAATGAATTAAACCTTGTTGTTTATGGATTTTGTTTTTGTCTCTTTTTTGTCTGTTTTTCTCTCGCCGCCGCGGCGTCAGCGCAGCGGGCGGGGGCGGCAGACTGATGGCGAGTCCGGGGAGAAGGGGGAGGGAGGGGAGGGAAGGGGGAGGGAGGGGAGGGGGAGGGAGGGTAGGGGGAGGGTAAAAAGGCGTGCGGCGCTTCGTGGTTTTGTTTCCGCGGGGTGTGGGCAGTGTGGGGGTGTTAGCGGCCTCACTTGACGGACAAAGTGCAAAGAGAGAGAGAGAGAGAGAGAGAGAGAGAGAGAGAGAGAGGAGAGAGCGGAAAAAAGGAAACAGCGCGCGCGGGAAAAGTAATGTAGCGTGCCCTCTGCTATCACAAAAAGGCGAGAAATATGTAGCCTATGTGTGTGAGACAAAGTGATGCATAAAACGGGAAACGCAACAGCCCTTGCGGTGGAGTGGGACGACGGTGATGGAGAGAGACGGAGAATGAGTGGGTCAGCAACCCTCCTGCCGCACAGTGGGCCAGAAGACCGGTGGACGCGGCCAAAACTCTAGACGCGTTTTGAGCTCCAGAGTCGCTAAATGGGACTCGAACCGAACGTGTGACCCCACCAATGGATTGCTCTCCGAACGAGGAATCCATCGGTGGGGTCACACGTTCGGTTCGAGTCCCATTTAGCGACTGGAGCTCAAAACGCGTCTAGAGTTTGGGCCACCTCCACCAGTCTTCTGTCCCACTGTGTGCCACTGGGGTGGGAAAAAAATGCGACGCCTAGTCGGTGGCCTGGGAAACGTAAACCCGATCCACCGCTGTTGTCGAATCCGGATCCGGATTCGTGATTAAGGCTCCCGCGGGGTCGCTCTGTCTGCCTCGATCCTGAGCGCCGCGCCCCGCAGGTGCGAGAGAGACAGAGCGACGGACCGCTGTGTCGGCTTGGCTCGCAGCGCCGCACTTTCGGACCGCCACCTCCGCTGATTTAATTTGCCGTAATTTGGCTGAGGCAGACGACAGAAATAATTTCATTATTTTATTCCGGTTTTTTTTAACTTTCTTTTTTTCCCCTTGTCTGTGTGCTTTCTGCTGCGTCCGTCGGGCGGGCGTTGTGGCCCGAATGATGGAGCGTACCGCCTCACGAAACTCTTACGAGTGTGTGTGTGTGTGTGTGTGTGTCGTATGCGCTTAAAAGCCACACTGAAAACTTAAGTGTGTACTGAGTGCACATAGAAAGCGAGTGTGAAGTGTACGGAAAAAGTACACACTTATTTCGGTAGAATTAGAACAGAAATTTGCAGAGGATCGTCTTACCGCCTTACTAAAGTCTCGAAAAACAATCGCGCGTTGGGCGTATTCCCCTCGTTTCCGTTCGTCTTTCGCTTGAATTTGCGCGCGTCCCCTGGGCCCCCTCTACTCCTCGGGCGTCTCTCTTTATCTTTCCACCGCCTTCTCTTTCTCCCTCGCTGATTCCTTTCACGCCGAGTCCGGCCCGCCGCGACGCCGCCACGCGTCCGCAGTCGCTAAAGTTTGTTTGCCGTTGCAATTTCTGCCGGAAGGTGGCGCTTGGCGTCGTCGCGTCGTTCCGAACGGCGTCGCTCTGTCTCTCTCGCACGCCCGGGGCACGCCCACGGCACGCTCCGTGAGTGCGAGAGAGACAGAGACAGTCTCATTCCGTCCGCACCTTGCCGCGCGCCGACGCGCTTTAGTGTAATTATGGCAGTTTTGCGAGCACGCGTGGAGGGAAAGGGGAGGGGGAGGAGAGGGTCGCACGAGTGTAGATGCCGCTGGGGGCAAAAAGCAAGCCCGGGGGAGGGTGCGGTGTCTTGACTGCTTCCCGGAAGGCGACATGGGAACGCCGCGGGGCGGGGCGGGGCGGGGCGTCCCGGGGTGCTGAGGCGGTTGCCAGAACTCGCACATTCTCAGCCTCCGAGAGTATCGGCTTGCGGACAGCACTGCCACACTGTCGACAGCGGCCCTTTCGAGATCTCGAAGCAAGAGGAGGAAGACGCGGCCACGCCACTGGGAGTGCGGCAAGCCGGGGCAGCCGGGCGGCCAGAGCAGAGGGCTGCCTAGGGCCCCTCTAGGGGGCGCGACCGAGACGGGGGTGCTGTAATACTTCCCTAATCTTTCCTTCCACCCGAATTCAGAGTCAGAGCCCCCCCCCCGCTCTCTCTCTCTCACACTGTTGGGGTGGCGGCCCGTCGGCCTGTCACTTCGGCCGCCCCGGCCCCTCAGGAAGCCTGCTATGTGTGGCGCTCGTATGCGCGCCTCAAGGAGGCGGGGAGAGAGAGAGAGAGAGAGGGGGGGTCGCGGACTATCGCTCCCAGACGGCCGAATTTCGTGTTTTTGCCCCCTCGCATGAAAGAGCGTGATATCAGTGCTGTCGCTTAGTGCGGCATACTCTGCTCGGTTTTTATTTTTCTTTCCTTTTTTTCACCGTTTGACAGAATCAAATAAGCACTTGCTGGAGAAACGAGGGAGCATGTGCCGGAAAACACGAAGCAATAACTTTGGCGGTGAAACTCATTTTCTTCCGCATTGCACCGGAAAAAAACTAAACAAAGTAATGGCGGTGGCTCGTTGAACGCAGCCACGTTCGTTTGAATAATTTGAGTGCGAACGTGTGTGTGTTGTTGTTGTTGTTGTTGTTGTTGTTGTTGTTTTGTTGGGGGGTTGGGGGTGAAGGGGGGTTGCCGCCATGTCCTACCAGTCCGTCACGGCGTCGGAAATTCTAGCTACTGCGTTTATTGGCGCACCCAACTTTGTATTTACATTGTGGAAACTTGGAGGATGTCTCTCACGCCGCAGAGATGGAGAGAGAGACAGAAAGAGAGCATCGTTCGAAGCAGAAAGCAGCTCAGACTTTTCGCTAATGAGAATGCAGTGGTGCTCGCCTGTCTTGTCCGCTCACGGCCAAGACAACTCGGGTTGTCTAGGGTCTAGGATGCCTGTCTGTCTGCCTGTCTGTCTGTCTGCCGGTCTCCCTGTCCCTGTCAGCCAGTCATGCACCACTGTGCAAACGCCACGCCCCTCTTATGCAATAAGCGCCTTGTGTTGTGCGTGCGTTTGTGTGTGTTGTGTTTGTACGTGTGTGTGTACGTGTGTGCGAGGTGAGTAGACGTGCGCTGTTGATGTCTGGAGGGTCTGGAGCCACATCCCCGAGGCGTGGCTGAGACAGTCGAACTCCAGCCAATGGTGAGCCACGGAGTCGGCTGTGTGAGGCGACCTGCCTGCGTCTCGGCTGCTAGGCCTGTCCTCATTCGCTATTCCCTCTAAAGCGACCCCCAGATTGGACTTGCTTCGCAATGCTTGGCAATGCTTCGGCACCTGGAATGGCAATGTCACAGAGCGCGGCAGCGCGGCCTCGCCAGTCGATTCCTCTCTCCGTCTCTCTCGCACCCCTGCGGCGCGGCCGGCGCGGCCCTCGAGTGCGACGGGGGCAGAGCGGCAGAGCGGCCGCCTGGCAGGTAGGCTAGCCCGCCCGGCGCCGCAGCGTTGCGGCAGCGTTGCGGCGGCCTACCCCGGGGTGTGCGGGCGCTACGCTGGGTCTCGCTCGCTCCCTCTTTCTGATTCAACTGTCTCGGTCGCTCTCGAAGCTTTCCCCTCTGCTTCCACAGGTAGTGAGGAATCCACCGCCAACATTAGCACAGAGGCGGCAGCGGGGCCAAGTGGAAAGGGAGAGAGAGAGGCGCCGAAGTCTCTCAAACGGCAAAGGCAAACAGTGAAACTCTGCCTGAAAACAAACCACTCCTCTCTCTTCGAATTTCACCTCTCGTTTAGGTGTCGCTGACTCCTCCTCTCTCCTCCTCCCCTTTTGCAGTGGTCTGCCTCTTTGACGGCGATCTGGGCTCGACACGATGTGGGCAACGACACTCACACATCTGTTCTTGTTCGTCATTTTTGCAGACCGAGCTGTCCCAGAATCTCCAGCAGCTCTCGGAGAAGGCCAAAACGACGACGGAGTTCATCCAGAGGCTCAAAGGCATGGGCGACAAAGTGAACGTAAGCATCGCAGCAGCGGAAACGAACCGTGTTTAAATTACACTTATTTCTCAAAGTACTCCAAAAAAAAATGACCAAGAAAAATTAAGCTTCTCTAGTTTTATTTTTTCAATAAAACTTTTCTTGATCTAAACCGGTTTTCCTTGTATGAAGAAAAACTTTCCAGTGTCGAGATTTATTTTTTTTACAAAAACCTGGAAAACTAAAAATCAAGAAACCATTTTTCTGGGCGTATCTGTAACTTTGTCATGTTTTTTTAGGAGAATTGCTCCGAGCTGGAGGCGCAGGTGGAGGCGCAGGTCCGCACCCTGGTGCTGGCCCTGGAGGAGCGGCGGGCCGCGCTGCTGGACTTCGTGAAGGCCGACCGCGACGTGCGGCTGCGCGCGCTCAAGGAGCAGGTGACGCAGTGCACGGCCAAGCTGCAGCAGACCACGGGGCTCATGCAGTTCTGCATCGAGGCCCTCAAGGAGACCGACCCGCCCGCCTTCCTGCAGGTACGCAGAAGTCGACGCGAACGTGTGGCCCCACCAATGCATTGCTCTCCGAACGAGGAATCCATTGGTGGGGTCACACGAGCGGTTCGAGTCCTGTTCGGCGACTCTGGAGCTCAAAACGCGTCTAGAGTTTCGGCCGCCTCCTCCGATCTTCTGGCCCACTGTGGGCCGCCGCAAGGCGCCGAACGAGTTTATAAGCCGCAACCTGAGCCTCTTCTAATTTCGAGTGTGCTTCCGTTCCTCCCAGATCGGCTCCATGCTCATCAGCAGGGTGGCCAACGCGGACCTGACGTGGTACAAGGACGTGGCGACGCAGGCGCGGATATCGCCGCACGCCGACCTCACGCTGGACGACCAGTCGGCGAGGAGGGCCATCCAGCACCTCAACTTCATCCAGATGAAACGTGAGTCGGGGAGAGAGAGACAGCGCGACGGGCAGGGCGTGGGTCGGGGTGGGAGAGAGACAACGATTCACTGTTTTAAAAAATTGCGAAAAAGAATAGTTTTGGGGTGAAAATTTTCAAGACCTCCAATGCTTTTATTTTGGTTTAAGAAACACCAAAATTTCAGGATTTTTCAATTGATTATTTTTAAACAGTGCACTCGCGCACGCATTATTGAGGGCGGTTCCGCGGTGAGTTCCCGTGAGGCGGAGAGCGACCAGTACCCCACCCCCTTTCCCCGGCCGCTGTCAGTCGCTGGTCCACCGCGGCGGTCGTCTGCAATTTTCAGCAGCGACCGGAGTGGCTGTCCGTGTGCACGCGCTGAGAGAGAAGAGGGGGGGGGCCTCAGGAAAGGCAGGGCACCGAACGGAAGTTGTCGTCAACTCAATGAACACGCTACTCACCGCAACTTTGTTTCGCGGTGAGCTTATTGTGGCCCGCGGCGTTTTTCGGCTGAATCGTCGACTTCCCCGCCCCCTGCCCCCTACCCTCCGCCTGCAACAAAACAGCGACAGCGCGATAGACGTGAGCGCGTTGCGCTGCGAGTTGTCGCACGGTCCCTCCATCCCTCTCTGTCTTTCTGTCCTTGTTCCGCCCCTTCCCTCTGCATTAAAAAGACGGAGCTTTCACGGGTTCGGTCCGCAGTTGTCGTCGCTTTGGCGCGCTTTCGCGTGGCGTGGCGTGGCGGTGTCACCGCGGCGCGACTCGGATGAAAAGGGCGAGGACAGACTTTTATGTTGATCGCGCGCGCGGGGGACGTACTTAGGCAAAGTTGGTGGTTAGGGACTCTCCAAGTTTTTTTTTCCGAAAACAGACAATGGGGCGTCTCTCATTCTTAATCGCTGTGATCGTTTTGTTTTACCCGAGCGGAGATTTCGCGCTTTAGGGGGCCAATCCATTGCGTCTCGTCGACATCGTGTCTTACATTTGTTTTTGTTTTGTGGGGAATCTTCTTAAACTGAGAAATTTTTCCCTTGAAAGATTAAAATGTAATTAATATTTGTAATTAGCTTCAACCCGATCGCAGGCTGTGTAACATTTACCGCTTGTAGAGAACGCCTCGTTAACGAAACCTTGAGTAACAAATTTGTCTTGCTTCTGTAGTGTTGGTTAACCCCCAGGTACTTTGCCCGATGAATCCACCCCGTTTCAAAGAGAGCTGTGACACAACTTGTCCCGAACCCCCTTTTGTGACATTGAAATAATCATTCTTCATTTTCAAACTCTAAGCACGACCAAAATCAACTATTTTTCGTGTTGTTTTTTTTGTGTGTGTTTTTGTTTTTTTGCGGTTCTTTTGGTCGTCTGATCGCGCGATTCGAACGTTAACGACGTCGTTCCACAGCGTTCTGCATTCGGATCGAACTGCTGATGCCTTATTGTCATGCGATAACGACAGAGATACTAATGGCTCTCCCTTCCGCCCCTTTTCCCCTCCTAATAGCAGTTTTACAACGTACGCTAGTGCAGTAATCGATTGTCTGTCTCTTTCCGCTGCTAACCACAGCCGCCAAAGACGGGGAGGAAAGACGGCCTGCAGGTAAACGAGTAGAGCCTTCAAGTTGTTTCTCTTGTTTCGTGCTTTATTTTAGTTACCGGGTTGAGTTGAGTATCATCCGTTGCGCGATGAGTTTTGAAAAAAGCAGCAGTTGGTTTCTGCCGCCGCTCCATGCAATTTGTTTGGTTTCTTTTTTTTTTTAATGATTCAGAAAGGGTTTAAAAATTGCTTCACTAGTCAAGACTTTGTCTCAAGAACGCTAGCGGTAACATACCTGATTGATTAATTCATAGTGCATGCTTCAGTAGGCAAACATAGGCGGTGACTACCTGCCAATGGTTTTACTGGAAAATTGAAATCGGAGTGAACCACTCTCCTGGTTCACAAAAAAAAAATTCTGTAGTAAAATTTTTGGTTGTGATTTTTATTTCTACTTCTAAAAATACTACATACAGTTATTTTGTTTTTGTTTTCTTTCTTTTTCAGCATAGAAAAAAATTCAAAAGTCAATCAAAATTTTCAGGCACTTTTTTCTTTTTTTTTTTCAAATTTTTATGTCAGTTTCCTGTGGTCTTACTTACACTGTGTTGTTGTCCCCGCAGCGCCCGGCGCGCCGACCATCATCCCGGAGGAGTGCTCGGCGGAGAACAACTCGGTGACGGTGGCGTGGCAGCCGCCGGCCACGTCCTGCGTGCAGGGCTACGTCCTGGAGCTCGACGACGGCCACGGCGGAGACTTCCGGGTGAGTTTCATACAGTGGATTTGCCAGAAGACCGCTGGAGGCGGCCAAAGATCTAGACGCGTTTTAAGCTCCAGAGTCGCCTAACAGGACTAGAACAGAACGTGTTACCCCATCAATGGATTCCTCGTTCGGAGAGCTATCCATTGGTGGGGTCACTCGTTTCGGTTCGAGTCCTGTTAGGCGAGTCTGGAACTCAAAACGCGTCTAGAGCTTTGGCCGCCTCCACCGGTCTTCTGGCCCACTGTGAGGCGGTCGGAAGCGGCGAGCTTCGAGTGCAACTGGAAGAACTGGAGCCAAAGAATGCCGAGGCCAGACCCGGCGGGGGCATCCCGTGGAGAGATGTTTATGCCTCTCCTGGGGAGGGAGAGAGAAAAAACTAGAGGGGCCCACGCAAACTTGGGCGGGAACAATGCCTGGACTATTTTTCCGAGGCCGCGGCCCTGGCTGCTCCGGCCTGGCTCGCTGCTCGCTTCACAGTGTGGCCAAGGCGAGGGGTGGTCCGAGGTTCGAGGGCCGCCCCGTCACTGGTCAGTTTGGCCGGGCCGGACCAGGCCGGACCAGGCCGTCTCGGGAGTCAAAGGGTGACTTTGGGCAGCGAGTGTTGGCCCTAACTAAGAGCCCAGCCCGTTCACGGTCGGCTACGGACGCCCACTCGCCCCTCCAGTCCCTCCAGTCCCTCCAGTCCCTCCGTGAAGCAGTCCAGTCCGCTTGAAGCGATTGGCCTGACCGCGGCGGTGGCGTCGTTTCAAGTGCTCCGGGTTGCGCGCCGTGCCACACAGTGGGCCAGAAGACCGGCGGAGGCGGCCAAAACTCTGGACGCGTCTTGAGCTCCAGAGTTACTAAATGGGACTCGAACCAAACGAGTGACTCCACCAATGGATTGCTCTCCGAACGAGGAATCCATTGGTGGGGTCACACGTTTGATTCGAATCCTTTTTAGCGACTCTGGAGCTCAAAACGCGTCTAGAATTTTGGCCGCCTCTACCGGTCTTCTGGCCCACTGTGTGACTTCAAGTGCTCCGGGTTGCGCGCCGAGCCCTTGAAATGCCTTCCATTGCTGCTGTACCCCGCGCCTCGTTTCTGACAGTGTGCGAGTTTTGAAACACCGAGCGCCGTCAGCAACAGAGGCCATGTCGTCCTTTTCAAACTTTCACTTGATAATTATCGTGTCCACTTTGGACAGGAAGCCCTTTTCGGGGATAGTTTCGGACCTGGGGGGCTGCTGGGGGGAGAGCAGCTTAAGGCGGCATCCAGGGGGCGGGGGGACTAGTGTAAAGTTTCTCGTTAGTAAGCGGAACCGGCAGCCTTTGCCGCGCTCGGCCGTAAAAGGAAGATGATGTCCTGGAGCAGCCCAAGGACGCCCCCAAGGACGAGAGAGAGAGAGAGAGAGAGAGAGAGAGAGAGAGAGAGAGAGAGAGAGAGAGAGAGAGAGAGAGAGAGAGAGAGAGAAAGACAGAGAGAGACACAGAGAGAGAGAGAGAGAGAGAGAGAGAAGAGAGAGAGAGAGAGTGTGTGTGTGTTTCTCGTTTCTGTCGCCGGCTGTCCTTGACCGAAAGGACTGTCCGAAACTTGGGCGTCTCAAGCTTCTCTTTGGACTACTTTTTGTAGTGCGTCAAAAAAGATTTTTGTTTCAGATTTTTTGGAAGACAATACTTTACTTGGCTCTTGTGACGTTGTTATGGTGGTTGCAGGACGTGTACTGCGGCAAGGAGACCATCTGCACGGTGGACGGGCTGCACTTCAACTCGATGTACAACGCGCGCGTCAAGGCCTTCAACTCGTCCGGGGAGGGCGACTACAGCGAGCTCATCGGTCTGCAGACAGCCGAAGGTGAGTCAATCAGTTTGCCAAACAAAAACAAAAACAAAAACACAAAAAGATGAATATGAAAGACACTAACTTGGTGGCTATCGGCATTCCGTGAAATCGCATTGTTTTTGCGAAACTTGTCAAGCGCAAGATCGCACCGGATCAATTTTTTTTTGTTTCCTTCGTACATATTTCTCGGCGACACGGCTGGGCCTCCACTGACGCGCGCCGCTCTCAAAACTTTTTTTTCGTGTTTTCTCTTTTTTTCAAAGTGGAGTGAGTGAGCCAGGGTGTCCCCTGCTGCCTGCGCTGCGACTCGCTGAGAGTTTGGAGTCGTTGACCGTGTCAGTCTGTCTGTCCGTCCGCCCGTCCGCGCCTCTCATCCCCCGTGATTGGCAAACTTTCGCAAGCCAAAGGGGGATTGATTTGTGACCATGTATCTGCCAGCCCGACGACAGAGGAGAGAGAGAGAGGGAGAGAGAGGGGGAGGAGAGGCAAGGACGCGGAGAATTGGAGTAGCGACCCCCACAGAGACAGAGATTTCGGATGTCGCGGCCAAACACTTTTCGGCGCTCTGTCTCTCTCGCTCTGCTGCGCCCCGCCCCGTGAGTGCGAGAGAGACAGAGCGACACCGCACTGAAATGCGCGTGCGCCCCGTTTGTGGCCCCGTGCACGGCAGGGCCTTTGTGTGCGGCCCTGCGGTCTGTCTCTCTCGCACTCGTTGGCCGTTCCGATGGGGTGCGAGAGAGACAGAGCGACGAATGCACTGTTCGGAACGACCCTCCCTCTCCGCTTGTTGGTCAACATTCGCAGCCAGAGGCCAGCAGCAGTGCAGATTACGGCACAATGCGACTGGACCCTGGGTTCGTCACCCGCCGGCTGCTTCGCTCCGTCTCTCTCGCACTCGCGGGGCGTCCCGTAGGGGTGCGAGGGAGACAGAGCGACGAACCACTCGCCAAATTACTTGCGGTGTGGCGCGGGGGGTCGGGGGAAGTCCCACGGAACCCCACGGTCCATGGATTCGGGATTAGAGCGAGACGGAGAGAGATTTAGCGCGTAGTGCGTAACGCCGCAGGTATGCAGCCCCACCTGCAGGCCGCTCTGTCTCTCTCGCACCCCTGCGGGCCGGCCGCCCCCTGCGTGCGAGAGACGAGCCTGCTGCTTGTGGGACTGCCGAGGGGGAAAGCACTCGCGTAATAGTCGGGTCACTCTGTCCGTAATAGCACGCGTAATAGTGTGCGTAATAGTAGCGTAATAGCTGAAATTCTCAAAATTTGATCTATTTTAGGGGTTTTTTGGTCTGTTTTCAGCTTAATCGCTATATTTTGAGGCGTAATAGAGCGTTATAGGCGTAATAGTCGGGTCGTAGGTTTTAGGAGTGATTTCCCCCTCGGGGACTGCCCACCCTGATGGCCAAGGTTTGCACCGGCAAACGAAGATGGGGCCGCGTAGTTTGTGGACAGCCCGAGTGACGGGTGGATAGCTAGCTGGCTGGATGGCTGGCTGGCTGGCTGGCTGCCTGCCTGCCCGGCTCAAGGATGGGGTTAAAGGGAGGCAGGGCGCAACGCAGCGGGACGTGGAAAACTTCAAAGACCCCGGGGCGCCGGGGTGGGGCTGGGGCAGCAGACTCATTCCGAGAGTCGTTTCCGCCGCTCCGTCTCTCTCGCACTCGCGAGGCTTCCCCGGTGACTCCGAGGGAGACAGAGCGACTCTGCTATGCGTTGCAAGGCCTTCGGGCATCACTGTCGGCTGGGCCAGTCAGACCATCCTTATCTAATAATTAAGATCGCGGAGCTTTACATCGCGGAATGATCTAATTCCGCGGGGCTCTAATGAAAGCCCGGCTCTCTTTTGAGATTTTTCCCTTCTTGAATTATGGAGACGGACCGGCAGTGCGCCGAGCCCTCTTCCTCTCTCGCGCCCAGACGGGGACGCCCCACGAGTGCGAGAGAGACAGAGCGACTGGGCCGGCAGACGATCCTCAGACGGTGCCCTTCCAGCGCCCTCGGCCTTCACTGCGATGAAGCGAAAGTGCATCTCGAAGGGGAATTCCCGGCGAAAGGGAATTTTTAAAACGGCCGGCCTCCTTCGAACGGCACGTGGCGCCCGGGATAAAAAGGGAAACATCTCGCGGGGAAAGTCGCGCGCGACGGAAAGGGAAAGTTTCTGTGTTATTCGTCACAAATTGTCTGGAAGAAGAGGAGGAAAAAAAAGGGAGGGGAGAAAAATTGTGTGGACGTGTCCAAATACGCGTCGCGAAATCAGCGCATGGCTCGCCGCCTTGGTGACGTCCACGGAATGGGAAAACGGAAAATGGCGGGAAAAGTCGGAGAGCGGAAGCTTGATTGTGTGTGTGCACGCCTCGTGCACCCCTCTGCACCCCTTCTGCACCCCTTCTGCAAGCCTCCCCTCCCCTCCCCCTCGCGCCCCGCACACAGACTTGGAAGATCCTTTGAGATTCAAAACACCGCCCGTGGCTGCGAAGCGCTGCGAAGCCGCGCAGCTCGCTGGACTTCCCCCTCCCCCTCCCCTTTTCCCAGTGCAAGCGGCACGCGGCTTAACAGCGCACCGCTTGAACAATAGCGCGCGAAAACGGGCGGCCCACATAGGCCGCGGTCGCGGAAGGCGTGCGGCCTGTGGCGGGGTGGGGCGGGGCGGGGCGGGGCAGCCACCGCAGGACGTGTCAGTTTGACGTGTCGCGTGTTGGCCGGGTGGGCGTGGGGGCGGGGGCGGGGTCCGCTTCTTTGACTTCGGAATCTCGACCCGCCCCGCCCCGCCCCGCCCCGCCCCCGGGCGGCCAGTCCGGCTGCTCGGTCTGGCCGGCGGCGCCCCTTTCCATCAAAATGCAAATAGTAATGAATGAGAGGCGGGAAAAAGAAAAACAAAGCGGAGGCCCGAAAGGAGATCGAGCCACGCAGCGTGTGTGTGTGTGTGTGTGTGTGTGTGTGTGTGTGTGTGTGTGCAGCGCTCGGCCCCGAGACCTCATTAGAAGGCACGCGTCGAGTCCTCTCCCCCTGCACTCGTGTATCCCTTGCCCGCCCTCGGCCTCCCGCTCGCGATGCCCGCGCAGAGAGACGCGGCAGAGAGTCGCCCCGAGCGGGACGCGCGGGACGCGCACAACACTGGAAAACAGGAATGAAAATGAAGCAAGGCAAAGCCAAGGAGAAGAAAAAATGACAGGGAAAAAAACGGGAAGGGGAAACTTTCGACGACGTGCGTGAGCACCGCGAACACATCTTGGCCGTCGAGGCCTTGACGGGGTGGGTGGAGGGGGCGGGGCGGGGCACTGCAAGGCACGGCGCAAAGCTTCAAGGATTCAAAGCTGCAGAGCTGCAAAGCACGGTGCACTGCTTAGCGGCGGGAGCGCCGTGCCGGGTAGGCAGGCCCGCACCACGCGGCTGTCCGGCGTCCGCGTTGTTGCCTACCCTGGAGTTCGCAGGCGCGCTGCCGCGCTGCCGGGTAGTCGCCTCATCGCTCTGTCTCTGTCTCTGTCGCACTCACCCCACTCTGGCGACGAGGCGCTGCCAAAGACCGTCGCCTCTCTCTCTCTCTCTCTCTCTCTCTCTCTCTCTCTCTCTCTCTCTCTCTCTCTCTCTCTCTCTCTCTCTCTCTCTCTCTCTCGGTCCGGGGGAATTCATTGCCGGACATTGCTGAGACTGGCATGGCCACGGAGGGAAAAGGAACACACAGTCGAAGCGAACTGTACGCCCCTCTCGTGTGTGTGTGTGTAGGTGTGTGTGTGTGTGTGTGAGGGGGGAGGGCGAGCGTGTGTGTGCGTGTGCGTGTTAGTGACATTCGCCCACTTCCCGCTCCTCCCCCGGAGCGCAATCAGAATAAATGTTTCCTACTGGCGAAAAAGGGCCAGCTTAGGCAGCAGGCCGAGGGCCGACCGGAGGGCCGACCGGAGGGCCGACCGGAGGGCCGACCGGAGGGCCGACCGGAGGGCCGACCGGAGGGCCGACCGGAGGGCCGCCGGGGGCCGCGAAGGGAGAGGGCACACCGGACCTTTCGGGCATCTTCCACACTTCGGCCCTCTTCCCGCCGCGTGTGTCCAGTTTTGTTATACTCCGGTAGGCCTTTTGGCACATTGCTTACTCCGGTCACACTTTTGTCACTTCTTCCCGTCCCCTTTGGCACTCTTAACCTCAAACTTTCGGCCCGGGGGTTCGGTCATACTTCCCACCCTACCTTTCCCGGTCTATTTTCCGGTCATACTTGCGCTCATACTCACGGTCAGACTTGCCTCTTGACTTCCCGGGGGGCACTTGGAGAGCGTGGCCGTAACCCCGGAAACTCTCAGTTGGGGTGGCGAGGATCACCCTTTGCCCCAAACCAGTGCCGGGGCTGCTAGTTCTGCGGTGGCGCTGTTTGGGGGTTCTTGGGCTACGAGCCGCGTTGCGGGAAGGGCAACGGTGGGCTTCAGCCGCGGGGTTCCTACGGGAGGCCACGTGGACCGCTACGAGGGCGGACCAACCCGGCCCAGCTTCGGCGTGGCGAGGACCGACCGTCGCCTACGCAACCAGGGGCGGGCGATGACCCTTTCCGTTCTGTACGGCGTGTTTCCCCGGTGGTTCGTTTAATGCTGAGGGCCGTTTTGGGTTTCCCCGGCCCCCGGACGACAAGGGCTGGGCGATGTACATCGACAGGCAGCGGTCCTGGTTCCTGCACGGCGACGGCCACGTCCAGCGCTGCGAGGGCGGCATCCAGACCGGCGCCACCGTCGGCGTGCTGCTGGACCTGGACCGCCACCAGCTCAGCTTCTACGTCAACGAGGAGCCCCAGGGCCCCATCGCCTTCCACGACCTGTACGGCGTGTTCTACCCCGCCGTGAGCGTGAACCGCGGCGTGTCCGTGACGCTGCACACGGCCCTGGACCCCCCCACTGACGGTGACGACACCTGAGGCATGCCGGGGCTGGGCGGGGGCCTCGCCGACCTCCTCGCCCGCCCCCAGCCTCGCCCTCAACACGCCCAGGGCGGTGACGGTGGCCCCGGCCCCCGCCCCGCCAGCAACGCGCTCCGCCCGCCGGCCTGCACGTCAGCCGCCGGCCCTGCCTGCACCGCCCCCGGCCTCGGCCTCGGCCTCGGCCTAGGCGGGCGTGCGGATGCCGGCGCGCTCCCGGGGGAACACCCTCCGCAAACACATATCTCGACTCGGGTCTCCGCCCCCGACGCGCCCCCGGCCTAGGCAAACGCCACCCCAGGCGGGCCCCAGCCCCCATGCCATGAGACCCACACCGTGGGACCGTGGGACCCGTGGCATGGGGTACTCGTGGTGGGGCCCATGCCAACCTACACGTTGCTCCGAGTGCTCTCGTGTCAGTCAAAATGACATTGTTTTTGTTCGGTTGGAATCTTGACTGACAGCAGCCACTTTGACTTGCAAGTTTTCCGAGTCCATGGGGAAGCCGCTGAGGCGAACGAAGATTGGTCTCGCTTTGCTGCGGACCCGGGTCCACGTCCTGAAACGAAATGTGTAACAGGATATTAATTTGAACTAGTCATCCAATGTGACCACTGTACGTATTTTAATGAAATTAAAACTATTGTAAGTGTCCGTTGACAGATATTCCGTTACTGTTCAGTTTTAGTGGCTGAATTTCTTAGAGACCAGAATATGACTGATTGTATATATCTAGTGATGATAATGTGGCACTGTACTTGTTTTTATTTGATACTGTTTGTATGTTTACTTAGTTTGTTATGAGTATTCCCTACTGTTATAGAATCTGGAAATCGATTTGTGTGTAACACGCTGTAGCGTTACTCTTTCAAAGGGAACATTTTAAACGGAGTCCAAAGACTGTTCTGCCACAATAAGTTCCGAGTCAAGCCAGAAAATCTGTGTAAAAGTAATCAGGAGCTGCTCAGGGTTTCTACTTATCTGGGAACATATTAGATGCAAAATAAATGGTCCTGATTTTGAGTCATTGAAATCATCTTTGCCGAGCCTAGCCTATATTAAATTCCAAAACTGTATTAACTGTGAACATGTGTTATGATGTTTGTCATTGCTTTTTTATTGTTATTATTTATAGCTTATTCAAGCGTTTTGTCAGCACCTATGGAAAAGGCTCCTCAAAATAGATTAATTGCATGACGTTTTAAGCCATTCAGTATTCAGTATCGGTATCAATGTAGTAGGATGATTATCTTGGAGACTCCACTGGCAACAGTTTTTTAAGTAGTACTTGTTCAGCTGTTATATGTATTTCAACTGCTATTGCATCTAATTGTATCCTCTCCATTGGTTTGCATCTCTCTAAAAGTGTTTCGATGGCACATAGCATGCGCTTCCATGGCTATCTGTGTGGTGCTAATGCACAGTGAGCATTCATATCCTGTACAGTATTAATGTTGGTCCTAACTTTGTACATTTACCTACCGAATGTTCATTTACATCTACTATTTAATTAACGATAATAATAAAAATATAAGTATGTATTATTAATTTATTCTGAACCTACCAATGTAAATTGTTATATAATTGTAAATAGATACACTATGTGTATTGTTAATATTTGCTTTTGATTACAGTGTGTATCTACTTTCTTTGAAAATAAAATGAACCAGTACAAACCAAGCATTTTTCTTTACCCCAAATCTCACATTCTCATATGTGCAATGAGTTAAAATTCGTTACAGACGTTACCTTTCAGAATACAAAAGATTTTTAAAAAGCACACCCGTTTACATTTTTCTTCCTTACTCTAGTTGTCTGATCAGCGGCCGTGTTTGAAAATGCCGCTCTCCTGTAGCCGCTAGTGCTGCCCTCTGGCGGTCTGCGAGCCATATACGTGGTGGTGTTTACAGTACGCAGAGCAACAAAAGAACAAATATTTTATTCTTTGGACAATGCTGTCGGATATTTGCAGTGTCAGTATGCAATTTTTAATTCAGGAACTTTTATTTCCGATCGGAGAGAGTTTTCATCAACTTCTGTGAACGGATCTGCTTTCCTTCTTGAACTTTGAGCGGTGTTCTGCAAGCACAGTCATTCTGGGTTGTTCCATGTGATTTCCTGCTTTACCACCTTCATGCAACTTTCACTCATATTATCGGCCACAGTTTTTGGTTTGTATAGTTATGTTTTGTGCTTTGTCAGACAATTATTGTGATTCTGCTCATGGAACTAACATATCGGTACAGGTTATATCCCGGTCTGGGACCGTTGGCACTTGGTTCATATTTCCATTATCATTTTGTTCTCTGCTCCATACTAGGTAGCATTTTGCTCTTTTGAAACTGCTGTTTAACATTTCAATGTCGTCACATATTTGTTGATGCTATTGCATGTTCAATGCAAAGTTTACAGAGTGAATGCATATCTGTCTCGAACTGTTATGTTCAAGGACACATGAGTAAAGGCGGCTGAACGCTAGACGTTTCTTCATATCAATTTATTCTTTAACTAGTGTTCTCATTTATCTTACTTGCCTATAATAACTTAACATTGATTTTTACAGATGAACCCTCTGATGGTGTCAACCTTGTGAACAAGTCTAATCACGATGACGAATGTAGACGATGAAACATCCAGAATCCACAAAAACCCAGACATGGTTTTAGTACTTGACTCTAAGTCAGAAAGTTTTCTTTGTAAGTTCCTTGTTTTAGAATTTGTTTTTCAGTTTCCTTCAGGTAGTGATAAAACAATATGATATTTTCTACAGCGGATCAGACTCCAACACCCATAAGATTAATTCAAAAATGTGAAGAAATTGGCCTTTTCAAAGATTTCCAAAATGTCAACCCGTTTGAGGAGACTTTTCGCAAAGCAGCAGAAGATATACGGTCTGGCACAACACCAGTGGAAGTACGTTTTTGATCCCTATTTCTTTCTTACTAACCAACTTTCATATGCTCTTTCACTCCTTCAAATTTCTTTTTTTTAATTTCAGATGTCAAGTTTGTCACTTCCAAATAATGCAGATGATTCTTTGCACACTCCGCATGTTATATTCCCACTTCCAAATGGATTGAATAGAAGAAAAGCTCTTTCTCCCAGAGATGATCTTTCTATTTCTGGTACAGATTAATTGTAGTAAATTTGTAGTATCTTTTACCTCAGCTTCATATTTTCATGACAATTTGTGGCGTTTTCAGATCCACTTTGTTTATCATTGGACAATGACGAGGCAGACAAAATGGTTGTTCAACAAGAGGCTGACACGTCTGAGGAGGCACAGATGTAAGTTCATAACTGTAAACTCACTGAGGCAACAACTCGACTTTTTCATAATTCCAGGATACTTTTTCACTCTGTATGTTGCCATTTCAGGTCTAATTTAAATGTAACTGGTCCCTGTGGAGATGAAGAATCGTCATTTGGAGGATCTATCCAGTTTCTTTTGCGAATGCCAAATGGCAAAATGTTACAACTTTCTTCACATCCTGTTGAACAGATGGATAACATCCCCCAAACTAGCTCCAAAGAAAAAGACATTCCATTAATTAAGGTGTGCGGTGGACTGGGTTATTGCTATCACTATTGTGTAGCATGCTCATTTTCTGGATCAAAGTTATTTGTTTGAATGCATCTCTAAATGCTTGTTTATTTTTCACAGGTTGATTCCTCTTTCCTCAAGGCTGTAGAAGCAGGTGCAAAGGAAGATGGTCCTAATCTAAGCTCTGCTGTGAATTTAAGCTCTGCTGTGAATGTTTTGGATAGCAGTGCTATTGGAGCTGCTCAGTATGGAACCTCTGTTCAAAATGCACCAAACAAGGTTTCAAGTATCAGCTCAAACCAACCTAAACAGAACTCCATAAGAATTCCCGAAGCGCAAGAAACTGATCAAATTTCTAAAATGTCCCTTGCTAAACAGGTAAATCTCTCTTAAATCTTTTGAAGTATTTAAAGTATGAGTTGACTTGTTAGGTTTGTGAGTAACCTGCTAATTTTCTTTGCTGCCTCTAGAAATTAAAACAAGCATTAATGAAAAACACCTGTCCAGCTACATCAAGTGTAACATCAAGTCTAGCATCAAGCACTGTTCCTCCCCCTCTTGTTATGCTGCCAGAATATGAGACTCAGGTAATAAAGACCATTCATTTTAATCAACATTTTGCATTTGTTTAGTGAACCAAATAATAAGAGACCAATTTTAATTGCATTTATTTAATTAATTTCTTTTAGACAGTACAAAGTAGAAGACCATCCAGCCCATCAGATGATGGGACCAGTCAAGATAATGTAAGTCATGATGCAAATTCGATGGATGAAAAGCGAAGGAGAAACAGGTAATTATTCCCTTCAGATTGTGATGTTGAAATAGGCGCAAGCAGGCTGAATCAATCCATTCTCCATTTCCTTGTTTTCTCTCTTCAGGGCAGCAGCAATGCGGTGCAGAGAGAAGCGGAAAACCTGGGTAAAAGAACTGGAACGAAGAGCAAATGATATGATGAGAACAAATGGACAGTTACAGCACGAAGTTTCAATGCTTCGAGATGAAGTTGCTCAACTCAAAACTTTACTTCTTGCTCATCGAGATTGCCCTGTTACTCAAGCTCTTGTTGAAGGAAAAGCTACTCTTCCCTTAAATATACCAGGTGAGTGTGAAAGGTGTATAACTCCTGTCTCCTGTGGCCTCTGAGGTGGTGTGTTCAGCGGGACTCTGTTCTTATGGCTCATGGACATCTATAGCCTTTCCTGGTAGAATTGTTAAATGACAAACTCGTTAAATATTTGTTAATGCCGTAGGTACCTACTTGGCTACATCCATTTCAGAGGCGTCATCACAAAACTCCAACCAATCCCCAAGCAAGGAGCAAAAATATTCACCTTCTACTGTGGTCTTCCAGTCATCTGGCATTGGCAATGCAGTCAAACCACGAATTCTACTCAGTGATCCCCCTGTTAAGCGGAAACGACTAAACTCTTCCACATCTGTTAGTTCTCCAACTGCTGTTTCTGTTGTCACTTCTCCTCCTGCAGTATCCACAGTTCATACTGTGGTCCTTCCCTCAAAGGGCTCAAATATTCTGAATCCAGGTTATGTAAACTTACTACCAAGTGTGGTTGTTGCTAATCCTACAAATTCATCTGGTAGCACTTTAGGACAGCAGGTCATTTATCCACAACTTCTTACATTACCTACAATTGCTCCAAAGCCTACTCTTAATGTTGTGACATCACAGCAACCCTATATTTTACCAAAGGGGAGGACAACAAACCTTAAAACCAAAACTGCCCCTAACTTACTGGGTAAACCTCCTGTCCTAAGACAAGCAAAATCGGAGAAAAAGTTTCGCTCAACTCACTTCTTATCTACAAATGTAATAAAAATTAACCCAAATGTAGTTGATCGTGACACAAATGATAGTGATATAGAGATCCTTGATGTTAAATAGGTCCTGGATCGTAGCTCAATTCATTCAAAAGGCTGACATTTATAGAGAGCGCTTCTGTAGGGTAATTTTGTGCCAATAGTTATCTTCTTCCTGGTTTGTCTTTAGAAATACTAGAGCATTTGCGAGCAATGTTTCAAATGTAATAAATATCCATAGGATGACTGTTTTGTCAGCTGTAAAAAGAAAACGATAGAAAATATCCACAATTCAGAAGAAGCATGTGATTGTATCTTTGAATTTTGTGATTGTGGGCCTTACTTTTATTGTGAGTGTGGGCTTCACTGATAATTGTAAGAGTTGCCTCGTCAACAACTTTCCAAACAAAACAGAAAACTTACAATCCTTTTAGTTTCAAGAGGTGATGAATAGTTTTTTATTCTTTATTCCATGGCTAGTGATTTTGTGGTTTAGATGTGTATTTACTTAGCTGTATCCGCTCGTGTCGCGACGGGCAATGAACATATCTTTCTTGTGTTTTCTAAATTTTCATTTTAATTCAAATTTTTTATTTAGATATGTATGTTATTACTGTTATAGTATCCAATGCATAGGATCAAATATTAACTGTATGATTTACCTTCAAAATATAGAACAGACTCTTAAAGCTTTAAGAATCCATGGAACTATTTTACTATATTTTGATTTTTTTATTTAGTTTTAACAGATGATGCTTAGACCTGTGTTGTCTTGTGATAGGGACTGTGCAGCCTTGCAGGATAGTTCAGAAGTGTTTTTCTTCCTTTCATTGCATGGAAGAATCATGATAAAGTATATTTTGTGGGTGAAGGAAAATTATTTCATCTTTGGCATAACGCTGAAGAACAAGTAGTTATGATGTGACACAAACCTTTGCTGGTAGTTTGGGTTCCATTCAAGTCATGTCATAGGACAAGTAGTGTTTATTTCTTTCTAAAAGAATTTATATCAGTGATAAAAAGGTATTTGTTTTCTCAAAATTTGTTAGCTTCTTTTTCTATTTAGCATATCCGTGATTGGAAGATCCTTTATTTTTTGACCACTAACTTTTGGTTTAATGTTTATTCCTGTCTTAGTTTGATTTGTTGTTACAAAATGATTACCTTTATATCTCGCTTCTCTGGGTTTTCCTGGACGTATTTATTGTTAACTGTTACTTGTCAGATAATAAAAAGATTTTATTTGGAAGTGTCTGTAACTCTCTGTTCCTCCTTGCACTTTTGCTGAATGATCGGCGGGGGGTTTCTGAAACATCCAGGCGGTCTCTCCATTCCCCATTCAAAAACTGGCGGTTCTCGAGCTAAATGGGAATTCCATTGGAGCTTTCCACTGCGACCGACAGGTGGCGCTCGACGCTACTGCTGCGGACCGGACGCCATATTGGAAAATAAAAAAGTGCGCATCTCGAAGGCCTACGTTATGTCCTGTCTGCGTTTGCAAAAGTTGTTTTCTTCGCATCTTTTATGTTTTTCCATTTGTAAACATGTTGTGTGCGGTGTTTCTGTGCGCTAGTCAGTCGAGATACTAAGAGTCGTGCTGACATGTCCATTCCAACAGGTGGCATAGAAATATTCTTCGGGGAAAGGGAAACTTTTCCCTAAGAGGACCTTTTGACAACTAGCCTTCACATGGCCCGTGCTACTTTTCTGAGAGTTGTGACCCACTTAAATGTTTTGCTCTCGGCAAGTTTCTCCATGTGAGCAATGTCCTAGCCCATGTGCTGATGTTATGTTATAAAGGCGAAGGTGCCATACGTCAGTTTTGCCTGTTGGGTGATGCCAGACTGTGGATCAGAAGGAGAACATGTCCAGTAAGAAACCAGCATACATCAACAAAGCTCCTCCAGCCCATGCCGAAGCAGTGGGCCCTCCTGCGGCTGCTCCTCCAAGATACCAGCCACCACCTCAAGTCAACCAAGCCCTTCCAGGACCTGTTGCAGGGCCTGTCCCTGCAGGGCCTGGCCCCATCCCAGGGAGTGGGCAGAGCGTTCAGGGCCCGGGCATTCTCAAGCACTACCACGCTCAGGCAGCTCCACCTGCACAACCTTCTCCACTTCCCCAGCCGCCCCCTCCCATCTCCAAAGATGCTGTCAAGCCTAGCCCCCTTGAAGGGAATGGAAAGCAGCCACTCATGAGAGCTCCGTCATATCCGCATCCACCTCAGTACCCTGCACCTCCTGCCGTGTCAGGACGGCGACCAAATCCGATTGTGGGTCTGCCTGGACCACAACGACCAAATGACGAAGAACTTCTGCGACTTGGCCCTGTTGAGATGCTTAAATTTGTCCGCAAATCGGAGAGTGAGGCTGCAAGAGCAGCTGCGGAACAGGGCCAAGCTGCACGGGTTGCTGCAGAACAAGGCCAGGCTGCGAGAGAAGCTGGGCGACACATGCAAGGTAAGTCCCTATTGTATCGACTAAACTACCGCGTCGGTTTTCTCTGTCATTTATACATTTCTGTCTCCAGGCTTGGCATCAGAAGTTAGATCCCTGAAGGAAGCTAATCAACGATTGAGTGATGACAACCAGGAACTGCGTGACTTGTGTTGCTTCCTAGATGATGATCGTCAGAAAGGAAGAAAGCTTGCCAGAGAATGGCAACGCTTTGGCCGCTACACTGCTAGTGTTATGAGGCAAGAAGTTTCTGCCTACCAAAACAAGCTTCGGGAGCTGGACACAAAACAACATGAACTGATAAAAGACAATTTAGAGTTGAAGGTGAGTGGATTAATATTCTTCTCCATGTTGCTGACAACATGAATTTTTAATTTTATTTCTCTAATTTTATAAATCTGCTTTGATATCTAGGAACTTTGTTTATACCTTGATGAAGAGCGTAATCAGCACCAAGTGTGCCCTCATTGTGGAACTGGTTTGAGGCCGTCTCAAGCATTACGTGATGATGGCGATGGAAGCAGCTCAAGTACTAATGCAGATGAGCCCGCTATTCCATCTCAATTTGTTGCCCCAAATACAAACCAGCCGTTTGGCTCTGCTCCGGGAAGTGCACCTGTCATTGGGGTCCCTTTCAATGGTCCTGCCACTCCCACTCCTAGTAACATGAGTGTAAGAAGAACCGAAAGCAGAGAGAGACTTCTTGAGGAGAGTATACAGCGTCAAAGAACTGTATTCAATGGTATGTTGTTTCAATGAGCGTCCAATGTTTAACATGATTTGGGCCTTTTGGATTATGTTGTGCTTATTTTGCAATTATTTTTCAACAGATCAAATGATGCAATATGTCCGAAGCCTTGAACAAAGAGTGAAAACACTGGAAGAGGAGAAGAGGATTCTTTGCCAGACATTGTGTAGTGCTGGCATCAGTCCAGATCAAGAGCGCCCATCAGGATGGGATTTAGTTGACCCAGTATGATCATTTTTCTACTGATTTCAGAAATTCCTGTGACGGAGATGAGGTACAGTTACCAATCTTCTGCAGATTTTCTCATATGTTCTATCTTATTCTAGAGTTCACGCCCTGAAGCTGTGGTGCAAGCTCTTCAAGTGTTAGAAGTTCGGGAGCAAGTTGAACGGATTGTCCCACCTGGTACGCCCACTTTAAGCAGCTCTGTATCATCGGTCTCCAATGGAGTTGAAGGACCAGTTCTGGATATGGATGATGGAGAAAAGGCTCTTGTGAGAGAAATGTGTAATGTAAGTCATTGATAAGAAAATAACTCATGGAATCATTAATATTGTTGCATTTTTTATGGTTTCTTTCAATATTTTCAGGTTGTCTGGAGAAAATTGGAAGAAGGACCGCCTGTAAGGAGATAATAGAAATGTAGCAGGGCCTGAAGAAATGAAACTTCTGCACTTTTAATCTGAAGTGTATTGAAACAGAAGCAGATATTTGTGAATGTGCTTTCTATCAATAATGTAAAAGAACTGGAAAAGACAACTGCAGTTTTAACTTGTACAAAATTGGAGATTTTATCTGATTATTCGTAGCTACTTGTACTATTCTTTGTGAACAAATTAGTTAGAACAAGATATGTTAATTTCTTGTTGTGCATTACACTTTTACCTGTGCAGGTTGTTATTTTAGTTTTTATACCATGTGTAGAAGTCCTCCTGTGATGATGTTTGCATTGAAACATTTCCAACTCTATTTAAGATCAATATTTTTAAAGCTGAAATGTGTGGTTGTATTTATGTGGTCTTTGGTCCATTGCATTTTTTAATTTTTTACTATTGAGTCCTATCCTGTAACAATTCCAACTTGATGCTTGAAGCATTTTGTTGCAGTGATCTTTCAGGTATGGAGCTGTAGAGCTTCGTTATTTTTGTCTAATTTTTCTATGTGTTGTGGCAATTTTCTGAAACTCTTCTGAGCTGCATGACTGAGATCTCACTATTTTATTTACTTTTGTGTATTCTTGCCAATTATAGTATAGAAAAGATATTTTCATAAATTCTTTATACATGTTTTTCTACTCTGTTCCTCTCTTTAACACATGACTGTTTTGTACATAACTTGTTATGTGGATGGTGTAAAGTTTCTGTTAATTATTTGTCCGAAGCTAGCCCACCAATTTTTTTCTAGCAGTTCATATACTTGTACTATGTACTGTCTACATAGTACAATTGTTATATTTTGTACTAGGCTGTACAAAGCCGTATGTTTTTCTTCAGATGTATTTATTTTTTCTTGTATTGATGTTTTGTACAAATAATATTTATTACTTAACTTGCCATTGTAATGACCCCTGTAAAAAAAATGTTACTTTTATGCTGACACCCTAACTATTGTTCTAGAATGCCCCCTTTTGTTACCTGTGTCAAAAATTACACTGTTAGAGCCATGTTGAATATGGCTTGGTGGTATTTCGGATTGTGATACATGTGTGCCAATATTGCAGTATTGCTAATTTATCTGTCCCTAATGCTTTCCATCTGATGTTCTCTTTTCTTTTTTTCTATTTTTAATGGTTTTTGCTTTTAAACATGAAGATTCCATGTTAACCTCTCCCACTGAGTTTAGTGAAAATTGTGTTATGTATGTATCAATTTAGAAGTAAAAGTAAGTGTGATCAGTACAAATGCAAGACAATCCTCACCGAAATATAAGCTGATGTGGGTCAGAACATACACTCATTATCATCACTGCATGTGGTAACTTATCCAAAATACATATTCTATTTCTCATTTTATTTTTTCTGAAATAAAACTGTTATTATCATTCTTGTTCTTCCTCAATGCACTTTGCGAACGAATGTTAATGTACCCATGCCACCAAAATCTCGCAGACATGCTTAGTACTTTGTATCAACTCCCCCATGCCCACCTTTCTGGCGCATGCTCAAAGCATTCCAGTTTTTAGCCAGAAAAATACCGTTTAGGGCCAAAATGGTGTTCGAAATAGCGTCAAGAGCCTTGAGAGAGTGCCTCGAAAGAACATCCTCTCATTTTTGTCATTTAAAATTTTTGGCCAAAAACGGTAAAACACCATGATGTTTTAGCGTTTTTTTGTTTTTTTTTGCCGAAAATGCCCGACTACCTCAGATTTGTCTGAAATTCATATGAAACGTTGCAATGGGTCTGAAAAACATACTATGCCCAGTGCTTAGTGGTCTTTGACACATTCTATTTGGGGTGAAAATTACTTTCCCCCCAAGATGTCAGTTGAGTTCTGGTGCGGTGGAGTTGTCTGTGGATGATGGTTTGCCTACCTTTCCCGCTCTTACTCAAATAATTCAAGTTTTTCACCAGAAAAATACAGTTTAGGGCCCCCTTTCGGCTCCTGACAAATTCATCCCAACTTGAAAGAGCTGTGGGACCTGCGGAAACAAGGCCATTCATTTCGGTCCAAGAATTAACGTATTTGCCGTAGGCAGTCCCCGACGTTGGAAGTGTAACTGTTTCCTTCAGGGCTTTCTGTGTTAGCCTTCAGTTCAGGCACAAGGATACAAAATAGTATCACAAATAGTTAATGTAGAGTAATGTAAGGTTTATTAGTGAACTCCAAACCATCAGTCAAATAGATATAATTGAACAGGATATATATTTGATTCTTGAATGCTTAAAAGGGATACTAAACAAATAAAATATTTCCAATGATACAAAACTTAATCTAGTGAACATACATTATGAACGACAAAGAAAAGTAACCACTCCCTCACCTACATGATTAATAAAAACAAAAACCGGTGGAACTGGGCCGCCCAGCAAATGCCAGATGACCTAGTTAAAAAACTGGAATGGTATAAGGCATGAATGTATAATGTGAACCACAAAATAAACATGTGTAAAAACAAAACCTACATTGCATTTTTATTTTTTTTGGATTTTCTTTATTTTATTATTTTTTTTTCGTACGTATGAGGAGTCATACGCGTGTTTAGTATTTAGGTGTCACTTCCACTCAGAACAAGAGACAGAATTGAATCGAAAATCGGAGTTAGGTTAACTAGTTTGAGGCACTCTGATGATTTGCTTAAATATAGTAAATACAACCAGACAAAAAATTTTGTGCAAATTTTGAAGAATGAATTGATGAAAATTGGAGTGCCCCAAACTGCCACTTAATTAACAGACCTCTGATTCTTTATCAAATGCCCCTCTCTCACTAGAACCAACGTGGGGAAATCGAGCATAGTAACTCTAGAGAATGATAACTTGACTTGAACAAACTTCAAAATGTCTTAAAATGGTGACTTAAAGAATCAGAGAAAGTCAGAAACATGATAACACCTAAGAACCTGACAGCTGTTCGGCCCTGAAAAGATTTCACCGGTGGTAAAGAGAAGACATAGTTAAATTTATTACTACAGATCAAAACAACCCTATCACACGCTTGCCATCAGACCAGATACATAAATACAAGTGCAATACCTAAGTCATTTCTAAAGCTGATAAATATTGAAGCAAATATCTCCAAACAGCTACATCAAAACATAAGGTTATTCAGCTACAACAAAGTGTGAGCCACAGCATATAATTAAGACAGCAGGGGTGAGGAGAAAATAGAGTATAATAACCCCATAAAAAAGATCCTACAATGTCTTCAAGAGTTGAAGTATGTTAAAAGAAAGTAAAACATTAGCAACACAGATTAAAATTTCTCATAACATATACAATGGGGAAATAGTGCTAAATTGGTCTGAGGCAAGTCATAGTGGATAATAATTACTCAATGGTGTAGAGCATGTAGAGGTTGCCTGGATCTGCCTTGCGGGGGACAAGAGAGTTGCCAGGGGCTAGGGGAGCGAATCCCAGGAACATGAAGGTCCGCACAAGAAGAGCTGCAACAAGTGAATACTTGTGTCAATAAAATACAGGCATTGCCTAATGGGATCAGGTAGTAATCTTAAGTCACTTAAGAAAGATAATAATGAAAAATTAACTTATAGCTCACCTCTATCTGTTCGATCTTTCTTGAAGCACAGAATGATGTGACTGCACTTGAGCACTTCTTCCGCATATTCTAACAGGGAGACAAAGCCCTCCTTGGATCCTTCCGGAAGTATGCATGACGGCAACTGGATGTACAGCCGTCCCTGCCACAACACGGTTTCCCATAGCACCTGGCTGCTCTCAGTCAACTGGAGTACGAATGTTAGACGCAAAGACTCCAGCGACCTCGCTGCTTTTAATAGTTCATTCTCCTGTAAACAAAGAGAAATTCAAATTAATAAAGATAAATAAGAAAGTAGAATGATGCCTAGGAGTAAAAACGGAATAAGGACCTTCTTATGGTCATCTTCCCCACAAGCAAGACAAAGATCACTAATGTCAGTTTCACATTTCCCGAATAGAGACAAATATTTTAGGCAAGTTAAAGGTGTGCTTGAAAGAGCCATGAACTTGTGACTTCAGTTGTTGGGTGAAGACTAAACACACCATCAGGCCCCACAACAGGCTCCCCCTGCCCCTCCTCCACTTGGGAGCACCAAGAATAAAAGTTGGCAATAGTCCCCCATTGGACAGCTCTCTCGAACCCAACTTTGACCAGAACACAGAATCAGTAAAAACAATTACCTGCACAACATTGCAGTTACGCAGTGCGCTCACAGAGAGCTCCTTAGATTTCCCCACGCCGCTGCCCTCTGTGCTGAGTGACGGCGACACAATTGTGAAGGCGGTGTGGGGGCCATCAGGACCAAGACTGAGGCCCTGCGCCCAACGTTATACAGTACTGAGGCACAGCCTCAACTTCGGAAGAGCTGAAACAAAACAAACACAAGCAATCAGAGTACGCCAAGGAATGAAACATTTCTTCCCTCCCTACATCACAATAGTCAGGAGGGAGGAAGCAGGATAGTTTGGCAGAGTTCTGTCACCTTTGCTGGCACCGATATCATTATTTGCTACGCAGTGGGCATTAGTTCAGCCCGTCTATTTTTAGTTTTAAGTACACTGCACTGTACAGGGGGGGGGGCACCACAACAAGAGAGCAAAAAAACTAGAGCAGAAATTTATTGGCAAGCTCATTTATCGATGCAGAACTCATCAATGACATAACATTAGAAAGTAAAGTGAGATAGGTAAAATGCAAGGACACTGGTGCTTATTGGCAATGTGCCAAGTCTAAGAAAAGATTGCATCTGCTTCTAAAGCAAGTCAACAAGAGGCTGTAGCAACTAAAAATAGGAGCTCAGTACAAGGTAGGAAGTAAACAAGAATCAGGAAAACTTTGAACATGGGAGAGACCTATTGTTGCAAGACCGACAAACTAAACACGATGACAGACATACTACAATTTTGAGCAGTTCAGCAATTTGTTACAAATTAAAATTGTGGCAGTCAGAAATGGCAACAATAATTAAAATACTTTGAAACACTCAAATTTTGCATCTTGCATAGCAGTTTAATAGCTTATGCAGCACCATATGAGGGCCGAGTCAAATGAAGTGTAATCTAAGCAACAGCAGCAAACAAGTGCAGATAAGATAAAACACCAGCAAAGTATGCAAATGTGGCAATGATTTCAGCAAAAGTACCCATCAGTTGTGTCTAGGAATCATAGGGATATGACTTAGCCTGACAACAATTACATAAGAGCCACCTCAGAACAAAATACTATTTTAATATCCAATAAAATTGAATGTGATTTTTCCGATTGTTGTTGAGCCCATGTATTATTTCATTTCAACAACATCTTCATTAAGGGATTTATTGGCATGCGAGCACGCTAGCACAAAAATAACCTCTCAAATTCAAAGAGCCCCAGATAATGAAGCACCAAGTGGCACTGTGACGGTGTACACAGCCAAAAGAGCCCAAACAAAGGACGCCCAAAGGGAGGCCCAGTATTTAAGCCCAAGACACGGCATTGGCGGTGGCTGGCACAGCTCCAAGAGAACTAGACAGGCAAATTTCGCAGCAGGAGTCCGAGAGTGGACGACCGGGGCAAAAATGGCAACAAATTAAAAGGGTGACAAGGTACCCGAATCCAGCAGTCTCCATCACGGCCCCAATAACACGTAGGCGAGAGGGCTTTTTCGGGGGGCCGAGTTACGCACGTTTCCGTCAGAACCGATAATCACAAAACATTTCAACGAAAGTGCATGACGGCACAGGGACCTAGGCCGGGGGGACGTTTAGATTTATTGCGTCACTAAGCAAATGAAAAAAAAATGACTGCCAAAGATAGATCAGATGAGACAACGAGACAGGCCGTAGGAAAGAAATACCAAGTACGGACCGGTCATTAGAAAGCTAAACGGAAATCTGACAAGGCCAGGTAATCGAAAGGCGATTGCGAAATAGATAGGAATGAGGAAGAACGCGAATTTTGCTAAAAGTAGACGACGGACGTGATGTTGGAGCAATCCAACATGGCGGACATCTGCAAAACCAGAGCAGCCCACCATGACGAAAAAACTCACCAGTAGTTGGAACTTAAGGCAGGCATGGCTTCTAACAAGTCTTCCTTACTGCTTTCGGGGTTACTTAAGGCCAAAAGGGCACTAATACTCATAATTCTCAAGTGATTGAAACGCTTCTGAACTCTTTCCGCTACGAGCACAAACCATCAGTGACCTATTCCTTCTCTTGTTTGATCACATATACAGAGACGGGGGCACTGGTGCCACCACCAGAAAGACAAACGCTCTGACAACAGGGCTCTAGCAGGGGATTCTACAGGGTAAATCAAAAATTTTCCAGTGCTCTAATGAAAATTATAAGCCGTTTTCAGGGTTTACAGACAAAGCGAACCAACCAACGATACTTTCAAGTGCAAATGATTCGTGCGGTAAGGTTGGCTGTGGTTTCCTCGGTCGTCGCGTGGTGACGTCAGAGTGAGAGAGCGGAGGTGGGGGTGAGTGGGAGAAAGGTGGGGGTGCGAGTGAGTGCGAACGCGAACGGCGCAACGCACAGCACCGACACCGCGTTCTGTTCTGCGTCCGGATCGCTCCCCTTTCTGTCCCTTTTCTCTTTTCCGACCCCCCCGGACAGACCGAAACCGAAAACAAGGGAGACGATTTCTGTCTGCGATTCGCGACTGCCCTGCCCCCCTCTGCCCCCCACCCCCCACCCCCGCGGCGGCGCAACGCTCGCAACGCATGTTGACGTGTCGGTGGTCACTCCCTCTCTCTTTCTCCTGCGCTTTTGCGCATTACTGACTCCACCTCTCTATCTCTCTCTCTCTCTATCGATCAATGGGCAACGACAAAGTTGCGGGACAAAATGCTAATCGTGTAACCAGGCGCATGGAGAGAGGGGGGGGGCTCGCGCTCCGTATGAGCGGCTCGTGAGTTCAATTGAAAAGCCCCAGGCTGGTAAAAATAGCGCGCGCCATGCGCCATGGAGGGCGGTGCCGCGGCGGTGCCGCGGTGCACGCAGCGGGGGTGCCAGGGCAGCCAGGGCAGGCGCTGCGGTCCTAACAACACGACGGCCACGTAAGGCAGACGATTTAGGCGCGGCCCCGAAGGCCCCGACGCAGCAGACTGATTCGTTTCGGTCGCTCTGCCTCTCTCGCACCGCCGGGGCGTCCGCTAGAAGCGCGAGAGAGACAGCCGCCTCGGAACCAGTCTGCAGATAGGCTACTCTTGGGCAGATAAACAGAGGAATCTCGTGCGCCGCGCCGCCGCGCTTGTAACACGTGCCGAGGGTGGCGGCGCGGCACTTCGCCAGCGAAGCCAGCGTCGCTCTGTCTCTCTCGCGCACCCCGGCGGAGCGCCCCGCCCGGCCCCGCCCCGCGAGTGCGAGGGAGACAGAGCGACGCGGCGGCTGTGGCGCGGGCGAAAACGTGACGGGCGTGTGACGTCACGCAGCGCATCTCGATCGGCGAATTGACGCGTTGCCGTGTCGATGTTTGCGAAATGGAACCTGTTTGGTCCAGCTTTCTCTCTCTCTCGCACTCACGCCGGGGCTAGGGAAGGCCGCGTAGGGCAGGCCAGTGCAGGCCCAGGGGGCGAGAGAGACAGAGCGACGGACTGAATGGCTTTGACGCTGTGACGCCGCGCGGAAGTGGTGGCTCCTATGCATCAACAAGTGCATCCGCGGCCAGCTAGCCAGCTTGGGTCTTCTTGGGTTACGGGCTGGACACCGCGGACGCCGCGCCGTGGTGCCGTGCGTCAGGGCCAGGCCGGCCAGGGCGGCCAGGGCCCACAGTGGGCCAGAGGACTGGCACCACCGGCCAAAACTCTAGACGCGTTAGCTCCAGAGTAGCTAAGCAGGACTCGAACCGAACGTGTGACCCCACCAATGGATTCCTCCTTCGGAGAGCAATTCATTGGTGGGGTCACACGTTCGGTTCTAGTCCCATTTAGCGACTTTGGAGCTCAAAACGCGTCCGGGATTTTGACCGCCTCCGCCGGTCTTCTGGCCCACTGTGGGGCGGCCAGGGCGCCCAACGCGGGACGCCGGCTCGGCATGGACACTGGACAGCGCGACCCTCAAGGCTGCGGCGCTTCGTCGCTCTGTCTCTCTCGCACCCCTGCGGGACACACCCACGAGAGCGACAGAGTCAGAGCGACTTTTCGGAATCAGTCCGCAGAGGTGTCCGCTTTCCGAGGCAAGCCGAGCAAGGCTAGGCTAGCTAGCTTGGACTGGAGACAGGGGCGGATCCAGAAAGAGGACGGCGGGTTTAGTTACTCGATTTGAACTCAAACGTCAAATTTGTGCGTGTCACTGAGAATGATTTACTTTGGCGATTTCCACCTAATCACAGCAAGGCAGCGAGGTTTCCACGTAATTAGTGAACGCTTATCGAGCCCTGGGCTGGCTGCTCGGTCTGGCCGGCTGGCTGCCAGGCTGGCTGCATGGGGCCATGAATGGAACCTTCCTCGTGCAATGTCGCATTGTCTGCGCCATTCGCCTGCTTGTTCTTATCTAAAGCAATCGACAAGCAGGATCGCGCCCCACCGACCGAGCTGTCTCCCTCGCACCCTCCCTGAACGCCCCCGCGAGTGCGAGAGAGACAGAGAGCTTTGTTCGGAGTGAGCCTGCTGTGGGCTCCCAGCCGCACCACCGCACCTCGCAGCAGCGACCGTCATGTTTTCGTGCCTCCCTTCCACGCCTCCCGCCTCTCGCCAGACAACCTTGGCTGCGTGGCTGTGCCTTGGCGGTGCATTGGCGCGAAGCGCGCGAAGGGACAGGCCGCGTTTTGGAACCGCGACCACCGCCTTGCTCCCGAAGCCCGGCCTCCAGGTGGCCGGGAGACCTGTTTTGGCAGACATGCCTCTAAAACACTTTGGCTCACTGTTAAAAATAAAAATCTACGGAATTACCGGAGAACTCTTTGAGAGAAAATATTGCCTCGGATCTTCGGAAAGGGAAATTCCATCCACCATTTTGTTATGAAGTGGCACCGAAGTGCAGTGATGTACTTGGTGAGGTCATCAAACTCGGTGCAACTCAATAACGCGGTCTAGCTGAGGCCGAGGCCCCGTATCCTGTTGCATGGCGGGCCGAGCATGGCAACGGCCGGAGTTTGCCGCCGTCCGTTCGACCACTTCTAGGCATTAGTTGTCCACTGTGAGTCATCTAGGACATTCCCCCACACCTCACGTGTCCAGATCTCCGCGTCGATTTTCTCAGTTCCATTTCTCAATATTCTGATGATACGGTGGAAAAATTGTGCCGATGCAGCCAGCAGGCCGCTTCGGCCGTCACAGACTTGTGATTCTATCGTGGAATTTTCCGAAACTCTTCATCGTGCACCATGGACCTCGCGTCCGCGTCAGCAGTTACAACAAACGAAGGTTTCAATCATCCACGATAGCGGAGGAAAATCGGGGAAATCTGCGCAATCCAGCAGAAAACTGGAGACATTTTTTGAGCAGTGATACACAGTGTCGGCCTGATTGTGCGCTTGCACTCATCTGGTGCTAAACGGCGAAGCCAGGTGGCACCCGGAAGGGTGGATACACTGATTCGAGCCTGCGTCAGGGGCGCCGCGCCACGCCGCGCCCGAATGGCAAAAAAGGAAAGATAAGAAGAGGCTTTTGCGAGAATGCAGCGAGACTTGCCGCGGGGACGATTAGACTTTAGGAGGGGCTTTAATTGGTCCAACGGCTTGCTCGAGTTTTCGGCGTCTTTGTTTGTAGTGTGCCGTCGACAGCGAGCGCGTGAAAAAAAACCGGCAAAAACGCGCAATTTAGCAAGATTACCAGAGAAAAGTTTACAAAATTTTTTGGCGTGTGTCTGTGTGGGCTATGTGTGAAACAACAGTGTGACCCCTTGGGTACACATTGGAAGGTCAAACCACTGAGGGCGACCGCCCCGCCAAAGTGGTTCTAAATGGTTGGCTGCCCTGACTCCCTGACGGCAGTCTGGCGGCACGGCGGCGGCGTCCTCCCTCTGTTTTGCCCGGTCGCTGGGTTTATCTCGACCTCAGCCGAATTACGACTCAGACTTGCAGGCCGCGACTTTGCTGCAGGGTCCTCCCTTTCCACTCCGCGCTCCGCTTACACCACTGCAGCGAAACAGAGGGCTCGCCAGCACGTTCCTACACTAGACCTGACGCGCTCGGTCAGACTCGGTCAGGCCACAGACACTTCCAGCCTTGTTGACAAACATTCTCCGCCTTTTTAACGGCCGAGCCGCGGATTCCTGGGCGAAGCTATTCTGGTGTGGCGGTGCTGAAGCTGAAGTCCCTAAATGAGACTGTCCGCAGGAGGGCCCTATCTTATCGCAACGGGAAACGTCTTTATTTCGTCGAAAAAAAGCGCCTCGGTCTCTAGCCGCGTGGCAAAACTGCAGGCAGGGTTGCCACACTAGTAGGTGAAAGTTTCACACGCCAAAAGGGTTGCCAACCCTAGTCTGCCTATACCAGGCAACACCTGGGCTTCGCTCTCGAGAAGTTGCCTGTAGGCAACCCTTGGGAATTTTGGACTTCTAGGCAACCCTGCCCGTGGTGTCAAATGCGCCCCGCCTCCTCGTTCCACCGGTTCCACGTCGCAAAGTGTGTTCTTGTGGCAAACTCCGGGCGGATGGCGATCGGGCGACGTCCGGCGTTCGTCCGGCGCGTTCGGCCTCCGTGTTTGTTTGCGCAGTGTGCCTATATGCCAGGGGCGGCCGGCTCGGCGGGAAGGAGGGGGGCGTTGTTTATATGCCCCGCTGCGCCGCGCCATCGCCCTCCGCCTGTGTCATCCGCTATCGTGCTTCATACTTCGGGGCTGCGTCTGGAAAATCCCTGCCTTTCTCGCAGTCGCGTCGCGTCTCTCTTATCGCCGTGGGAGGCGTCCGAGACGTTCGGGCGCCTCCCCACCCCAAGACAAAAGCGTCCTGGATCGCTTGGCGAGTTTGCAAGACGAAGCGTCGCGCTCTCTCACTCTCACTGCGATCCGAAGGCTTCGTTTCGTGCTGCCTGTCTCTGTCTCTCGTCTGTGAGCGAGAGACAGGTGCGTCCGTGACACTTGAATGAACGGTACCCGAATTCCGCTCGGCGGGGTTTTCTGGAGTCACAGACCACAGAGCCGTCCGCGTCCGATAGTGATAACTGCGAGCAATGACACGACAGCGCGACCCGCGCGACAGCGGCGTGGCATCCAATGCCATTTCTGCCGGGATGCGACCCCTGCCAGGGCCTGCCAGCCTGCCAGGGCCCCTCGACCCCGGCCCGAAAGCCCCACAGGGCGTAAGCCGGCACGCCCCGCCCCGCCCCGCCCGCCCCGCCCGCCCCGCCCCGCCCCCCGCCCCGCCCCGCCCCGCCCCCCCCGCCAGGGACCCCAATTCAAGCCAGAGGCCCATAGCGTTCTGCGTTATCAGGTCGCACCACTTTTCGACACGTTTCGAGACGTTCGCTCGGCGGATTTATAAGGTGTCTCGTCAGCCAGCCAGCGAGAACAAAGAAATCCAACAGCATACGGCGTGAAACTCGGTGTGGAAACAGAATCCCCCTCATACTTATCTGTCGAAAAAGAAACAAGTCGAACCCCTCTGCAATTTTTGAAGACTGGCTCCGGACAGGCGGGCTCTCGAAATAACTAAAGTCTCTGACTTCGGGACGCTCTCCATTTTTATGGCATTAAATTTTCTGTAACGCGCCGTTTATTCAGAAGAAATAAAACAAGACCGCTGTAAAATCCAGTAGGCTCTTTCCTGCGCGAGGGTGGGGCTTTTCCACTAAGAGCAGGTCGGACCGTGAGCACCGGGTGTCCTGTTCGCCATCCTCGACGCGAGCAGGTGCACAGTGCAGGTACATACCGCGAGGCGCGCGTGCCTGCACCGTAATATTCGAACGGCAGCGAAGCGGGGACCTTTGGACTGGGGGGCGAAAAAAAACCTAATCGCCAGAACGCGTCGCGCCATCCGGCCACGGAAGCAATACTGTCATCCGGCACCACGTTCGTGTTGTTGTTGTTGCTGCTGTTGTTGTTGTCGTCTTCTGCAGACACGTCCCGCCTGCGGTGTAGGCAACCCATCTGACGCTGAGGCCGGTTGGGCGGCCGCTGCGGGCTCAGCAGCCTGCTGCAGTCTGCAAGGGGGGGGGGGCGGATAGGGAGAAAGAGAGACGGAAAGAGAGAGGATGAGGACGGTCGCCAGTGTAGGGGCGCAAGTGGGCAAAAATTCCTACACAAGTAGGCAAAAGGGCGCGGGTGGACTTTCGAGGCGGAGTTCAAAGCTCGAAGACAAGACCCGCGTGTATGTTGAGGGGGTGGGGGTATTCTCTAGGAGGTGCTGTTGGGCAATGCCACGGCAATGCCCATGCATCCGTCGTCCTGTCCGTCGCCGTTGTCTCGGCGTGTCGGCCATGGGCGGCCATGGGTCCGGGGCGTGGTTGTCGTGGCTGTGCTGGGATCCACCGTGGAAACCGGGGGAAACTATCCCCCATTCTATGCGCGCCTGTCTATCCAGCGTGCCTCTCTCACACCGCCACGGGACGGCCCACGAGTGCGAGAGAGACAGAGCGACGAAAGCGCTGTTGGAAATGATACGCTGATCCCCTGTAAAAGCAGTCATCCGGTGACTTGGGCGGCATTGAACTTTACCGGTCTGGGCAGAGCAAGTCCAACAAGGGAATGTCAACACTTCGACACTCGGGCGGCTAAATACTAGCCCGGCCGCGACGGCGGCGACCCACAGTGGGCCAGAAGACCGGTGGAGGCGGCCAAAACTCTAGACCCGTTTTCAGCTCCAGAGTCGCTAAATGGGATTCGAACCGAACGTGTGACCCCACCAATGGATTGGTCTCCGAACGAGGAACCCATTGGTGGGGTCACACGTTCGGTTCGAGTCCTGCTAAGCGACTCTGGAGCTCAAAACGCGTCTAGAGTTTTGGCCGCCTCCACGGGTCTTCTGGCCCACTGTGCGACCCCACCACCGCCCTTGCATCCTTCCCCGGTCCCCTCCAGGCCCCCGCGGCGACGCGATTCGACGCACGTGGTTCGCTGGAACCTGCAGCCAGGTGGAGAGAGACAGAGAGACGCCGAAGTGGCGACCGACCTCTCGAGGAGTCACACACGCAGTACGAACACGCATGGTACACTCGCCCGAGGAGCACACGCTCGCGGTGCCGACGCTCGCGGTACCAACGCTCGCGGTTTGAACTGCAGAAGTGACAGTTAACAGTTCCCTGCGATTAACAGGCCGGCCTGTTTCAAAAGTGTAGTGCTGTGATCCACAATTGTGTGCAAGACTGAGAATAAGTGGTGCGTCGTCCGCAGTTTTACTTCCCTTCAGTACCGTAAAAAAGTGGCGGGTCGTGTGTTCTGTCGATTATAAAGAATATCAAAGTCGATCACAGTTCACTGAAGCCTGTTTGTGCCCTTCTAATTTTCGTTCCGAAAGAAAAGACTTCGTTACTTCGTTGCCTGAGTTCCTCGTGATGGTAATTCGACTCCATACGAGCGAAGTCCTCCAGATGGCCTAGGCCCCCAGGCACCCCGCTCGCCCGCCTTGCCTCACTCCGCCTCCACGCCTCCACGCCGCCAAGCCCCAAACCCAGCCTCGACATGGACAAGGCCCTGCTCGCGGTGCTGGCCGTCCTGGCCGTCGCCCTGGTGGCGCGCGCGCAGGAGCCGCCGCTGTACACGGAGGCGGTGTGGAACACGTTCGTGCAGCTGGTGCGCGACGGGCTGCAGGAGCCCGCCGACCGCGCCACGGAGGCCCTGCTGCCCGAGTACGACTTCATCGTGGTGGGCGCGGGCACGGCGGGGTGCGCCCTCGCGGCGCGCCTCAGCGAGGTGGCCGGCTGGTCCGTGCTGCTGGTGGAGGCCGGCCGCTCCGAGATCTTCGCCATGGACATCCCCATCACGGCCAACCTGCTGCAGTTCAGCGACGCCAACTGGAAGTACCGCACGCAGCCCTCCAACTCGTCCTGCCTCGCCATGAAGGGCGGACGCTGCAACTGGCCGCGCGGCAAGGTGAGGGCCTAGTGCTGTCTCTCTCGCACTCAGGCGGAGTCCCGTGCGGGTGCGAGAGAGACAGAGCGATGTGGGCGGCGGCGTGCGCGAAGCGGGGCACCGTGCGCCAGAAGGCCGGTGGGGGCGGCCAAAACTCTAGACGCGTTTAGAGCTCCAGAGTCGCTAAATGGGACTCGAATCGAACGTGTGACCCTCAACAATGGATTCCTCGTTCGGAGAGCAATCAATTGGTGGGGTCATACGTTCGGCTCGAGTCCTGCTTAGCGACTCTGGAGCTCAAAACGCGTCTAGAGTTTTGGCCGCCCCTACCGGTCTCCTGGCCCATTGTACGGGGCCGGCAGATGCTCCGCGTTAGGCCGACCCGCTTCTCCAGCGGCGTGCCGGGCGTGCCGGCCAGTCGGGCCTTGGCACCACTTAGAGTGCCGGCGCCTCGATGCGCGTGCATTCGCCTGCATTCGCCTGCATTCGCATGCATTCGCATGCATTGGTGCCATGGCGGCCGATGTGAACCGTGCAGTTCTGCACGCACAAGCTGGCCGCGCGAGTGGGACAGAGTCACGCCACTGCAAGCGGGGAGTAACGCCGGGTTAAAGGACACAGCAGTGTCCATTAGCGCGGGGTATCGCCAAGGTCATTCCCTTTCCCCCGGTTTCCCGTTCGTTGTGCGCGGGGTATCGGCGAGGTTTATCTGTGCGTGTCGCAGGTGATGGGCGGGTCCAGCGTGCTCAACTACATGCTGTACACGCGCGGCCACCGGATGGACTTCGATAACTGGGAACGGCTGGGCAACCCGGGCTGGGGCTTCAAGGACGTCCTGCCGTACTTCAAGAAGATCGAGAACATGCAGGTCAGAGCACTTCTTTCATTCATTCGCCTCCGGTTTCACACAGTGGACCAAAAGACCGGCCCATTGTGTTTCGTCGACTGTCTTTCATTTCATTCCCGGCGACTGTGGTGCACGGTGGTGCAGGTCCCCGAGCTGGCCGCCGACAAGGAGTGGCACGGCACCGGCGGCCCCGTGTACGTGAGCCACATCCCGTACCGCACGCCCATCGCCACGGCCTTCCTGGAGGCGGGCCGCGAGCTGGGCCACAACGTGGTGGACTACAACGGCGCCAACATGACGGGCTTCGCGCACTTCCAGGTACAGAGTGCCGCCAGCGCCCAGACGAGGCGGGGGAGTGGCGAAGGGGTGGGTTTGCCAGAAGACCGGTGGAGGCGGCCAAAACTTTAGACGCGTTTTGAGCTCCAGAGTCCCATTTAGCGACTCTGGAGTTTCGGCCACCTCCACTGTGACGCCGGGGGCGTGCTTCGCGTGCTTCCAGACGACCATGCTGCGGGGCGAGCGCTGGAGCTCGAACCACGCCTACCTGCGGCCCATCCGCGGCCGGGCCTCGCTGCACGTCACCAAGGAGACGCTGGCCACGCGCGTGGTCGTGGACCCCGTCACCAAGGAGGCCGTCGGCGTGGAGCTGCTGCGCCGGCCCAGCGGCCTGGGCGCGGGGCTGCGCGGCTCGACGCGGAGGGTGGTGCGCGCCAGGAGGGAGGTCATCCTGTCGGCCGGCGCCATCAACTCCCCCCAGCTGCTCATGCTGTCCGGCATCGGGCCTCGCCAACACCTGCAGGCAAGTCGCCGCGGCGCACAGTCTGCCAGAAGACCGGTGGAGGCGGCAAAAACTCTAGAGGCGTTTCGACCTGCAGAGTCGCTAAATGGGACTCGAACCGAACGTGTGACCCCAACAATCGATTGCTCTTCGAACGAGGAGTCCATTGGTGGGGTCACACGTTCGGTTCGAGTCCCATTTAGCGACTCTGAAACTCTCCACCGCGATCCCTTTGAGTGACTGACACTGCCTACACTGCACACGCGAATGCGTGGGCCATTGTGACACACCGACGCCCAAGGCCGGCGAGGCCGGCGACGGACAGGTTTGCTCAGGTTGGCGTACCTGTGGTGCCTTGTGCGGATCGGTCTCGTCTCGCTGTTTGGTTTCCATATTATGCCCCACTTGGGGGCCTTGTCCTTGACCAGCAAAGCCTCGCCGCGCCGGGCGATCCGATCCGCACCACGGCACGGAGCCACTTAAGTAGGTGAAAATTCCTCGACAAGGTGCCCACGCTAGGTACGCTAGAGCAGCCACTGCTTCGACACTGACTGGTGCATCGTGGGAACTTTCGCCTTCTAACGTGGCAGCACTGCCTGTGGTTGGAATCCCCTTGCAGGAGCTGGGCATACCGCTGGTGGCGGACCTCCCCGTCGGCGAGAACCTCATGGACCACGTGTCGGCCGGCGGCATCCTGTTCATCGTCAACGACACCGTGTCCCTCAAGTAGGTCACTGCCAATCTTTCGAAATCGAATCGAATCTGGACAGCTTCGATTCGAGATAGAAAAATGCCGCTCCGCACACCACTATGGCCCGCCCCGCGCTAAGCGGTCTTGTCCGAAAGCACAGTGGGCCAGAAGACCGGTGGAGGGAGGCGGTCGAAATCCCGGGCGCGTTTTGAGCTCCAAAGTCACTAAATGGGACTCGAATCGAGCGTGTAACCCCACCAATGGATTGCCCACCGAACGAGGGATCCATTGCTGGGGTCACACGTTCGATTCGAGTCCCAGTTAGCACCTCTTGAGCTCAAAATACGTCTGGAGTTTCGGCCGCCGGTCCTCCGGCAAATCCACTGTGGCGCGGAGAGTGAAAACTGAGGTCTCGCAGGTCCGAGCGGCTGTACAGCGGGGCCATCATGACGGAGTGGCTGGTGAACCGGACGGGCCCGGGTTCGATCCCCGGCGGCTGCGAGTCGGTGGCGTTCTACGCGCTGGACGGCAACAAGGACGGCTGGCCCGACCTGGAGCTCATGCTCATCTCGGGCACCCTCACTTCGGACGTCACGTTCCGGGACGGCCTGGGGCTGGACCTGGACCTGTACGACAAGGTAAACCTGTGAACCACGTGCAGTCCGCACCGCCTCCAGCACCGTAAAACACGGAGAAAAAATGAGAACAAAATTGGCTTCGCGCGGCTAAGGGAAAGGTACTGGAGGTCGCCAGAAACGACTTAAAAAAAACTGTAAAAAAAATTCTACAATAATTGATAGGTACAGCAAAGTGTGTCGAAAGGGTTGCCAATCTCAGCGTGTCCACCAGGCGATACCCGAGGAAGGCCCTGAGGTTCCGCGCGACTTACGCCTCACGACTTTGCTCCCTGCAGATGTTCCAGCCCGTCGAGCACCTGGACTCGTGGTCGCTGGTGCCGATGCTGCTCCGGCCGCGCAGCAAGGGGCGCATCAGGCTGCGCAGCCGCAACCCGCTGAGCAAGCCGCTCATCTACCCGGCCTACTTCGAGCAGCCCGAGGACCTGGAGCTGCTCGTCGACGGCGTCCTGGAGTCGCTGCGCGTCGTGGGCACCAAGGCCATGCAGCGGCTCGGCACGCGCCTCCACGAGGCCGCGGTGCCGGCCTGCGTGCGCCGGGGCCTCGCCTTCGGCACGCGCGCGTACTGGCGCTGCCACATCCGCCACTTCTCGCTCACCATCTACCACCAGTCGGGCACCTGCAAGATGGGGCCCGCCTCGGACAGCGGCGCCGTCGTCGACCCTCGGCTCCGGGTACGCACGGTGGAGGCGGCCAAAGCTCCAGACGCGTTTTCAGCTCCAGAGTCGCCAAGTAGGGCTCGAACCGAAAGTGTGACCCCAGTCGAGTCCTACTTAGCGACTCTGGAGCTCAAAACGCGTCCGGGATTTTGACCGCCTCCACTTGTTGTAGTTGCTTACTCGAACGCTAAAGGTCTGCTGAGGCCTAACAGCGCCGATGAGGATGACCGGTCTTCTGGCCCGCTGTGGTACTTGACTTGAAAGGCTAGAGACCACAACTGATCGTATGCATGTTGGAGGTCAGCCTGCGAAGCGCAGGGTAGGCAGCGCGCCCAGCATCCGTGGCGTGCGGGACTGCCTACCCCTGGAACGCCTGCGAGGTGCAGGGTAGGCAGCGCGCCCAGCATCCGTGGCGTGCGGGACTGCCTACCCCTGGAGGTACAGCCTGCGAGAGCTGCAGGGTAGGCAGCGCGCCCAGCATCCGTGGCGTGCGGGACTGCCTACCCCTGGAACGCCTGCGAGGTGCAGGGTAGGCAGCGCGCCCAGCATCCGTGGCGTGCGGGACTGCCTACCCTTGGAACGCCTGCGAGGTGCAGGGTAGGCAGCGCGCCCAGCATCCGTGGCGTGCGGGACTGCCTACCCCTGGAACGCCTGCGAGGTGCAGGGTAGGCAGCGCGCCGAGCCACCTTGGTGTGCGGCACTGCCTACCCTGCATTCCGCAGGCGCTACTTGAACTTCGCGCGCTAAGTGCTGGGTAGGCCAGCCCCCCAAGCAGTTGTGACGTCGTTTGGCCGGTTTGCTCGGGTTTGTGACTAGGCGTGTTGTGTGTCCTGCGGCCGCAGGTCCACGGCGTGAAGCGGCTGCGCGTGGTGGACGCCTCCATCATGCCGGAGATCCCCTCCGGGCACACCAACGCCCCCACCTTCATGATCGCGGAGAAGGCGGCGGACCTCATCAAGGAGGACCACAACGTGCGGTGACGAGGAAACCGGCAGGCAGCCAGAGCACACCCTGTGATAATTTGCTCAGTGCGAATGTACTTTTTATCAAATTGATATCAAGCTTGTGGCGATGGAAACTTCTTCGCCATACACCATGTTGGACTGTGAGTTTGGTGAGTTTGCCATTGTGCAGGTCAAAATAAACACATCCCTCTTGAAAAACAAAACAAAGACTTCATTTCCCAAAATTTATTGTAACAAAAAACATTGAGAATGAGATTGACATGAATGGGGGCAATCCATCATCTTTCATTAGGTACAGTAGCATTGGGCACAGTTGATTCACATACTATTCTACATATCACATTAAATAAAAAAACATTAAGTAGCAAAGCTTGTTTACAAAAGAAAAGAAAGGAGAAGAAAAAAACTTTAACTTTCCTTTTCACACAAAATTACATTATTGCATTAATCAATGTCCATAACTTCATCGGGATCATCCGGATCTTCATCTTCCTCCTTTAATACAATTTTACGTCTTTTCTCAACTGTTTCTGAATTAGTTTGCTTTCGCTTTGAAGATTTGGTTAGTGAGATACCTGATGTGCTTGGCATATCAATGTTTTGAATGGGTGCATCTTCTGGAATAAGTTGCCCTGTTGCTGCCAAGGCAGAAATTATTTTTCCACCGGGGCTAGGTCTTTTCAATCCTGTCATAAAACTGTCAGATTTCACACTAGTAGTTTCTTCATCCAGGAAAATTGCATCATTAGAACTTGGAGCATATCTTGACATTAATGCAGGCCAAAGGAAAAGGCACCAAATACGCTCATCAAACTTACGCTGGGCTTCTGCCAGTTTTTCATCATTCACTTCTACCACCTGACCCGAATTTGCATTGGCCCAATCGACCAAAGTGCGTCTATTAAGGAGGAACGTCCGCAAAGCTACTATAGAGGTCAAATTTGGTGGAAACATAACAAATTCCTCTTTTTTGGGCGGGCTAGAAGCTGCATCAGGAACAATGTAGTCAAAAGTAGGGATTTCATAAAATGAGGGGTCCTTGTTTCTGTCTGCCACAACTGCATCCAGCTCATAGTTCATCAGCGGTAAATCAATATACCGCGAGGCAAAATCATGCGAAGGAATGTAATCAATATTACAATCTGATGAGTCAGATGAGGAGGACGAGGAGGGCTTGTTGAGATCACTAAACAATGGCAGAGGAACAGTCCCAATGACCTTTTCAGACTGTGATTCAGTGGTTGGCTCTGGAATCACCTCCTCTGGTGAGTGAGCGGGAGAATCTTTGAAGAAGTCAGTGCCTCTTGAAATATAAGCTTTCAAAATTTCCCTAAAAAGAAAAGAAACAATCATTTTAGTTGGTAACAAACATACAACAAACAGAAAAAAAATTAAGGAAGTCTTTGCTCACTTATCAGACGTAGAGAGAGTTGGATCCTCATCCAATTCATCAAAACTGGGCAAATTTAGTTTGGCTTTGAGAACTGAAACTATCATTTCAAGCTCATCAGCATACTTGTGGACTTCTCCCGATTTAAGTTGAAGTTTTCTGCATGCTCCAGGTATATCATAGCTACAGCGAAAATAGTTGATAAGGTCTGCTTCAATAATTGATGGCTTTTTCTTCTGGGATTGCTTAGGTATAGCTCTTTTCTTCCTCTTTAGAAGAGATGATACAAGATTATTCTGAAACAAAAAAAAAGACCAAATAAAAATTATATACGAATAACCATTGTTAACAAAGACAGGATTCAATAGAGTCATTTAACAGACCTTAGCTTTAACCATTTCATCTATGGTATTACAATTAAGGATCTTTTTAGCTCTATCCCACTGTTCCTGGAAATCCTTATACATTTGAGGATTATAGCACCTGCTGGGAGCATCAGTCAGAGGAGCATTAGGGTACTTTGCTCGAAATTTAAGCAATGAAGTATGGCGATGACGCACCTATTAAAAAAAACAGAGTTTTTCAGTACCACCTTTTTTAAATAAATTAACAAATCAAAATGAGAAACAGATGGAGAAATTAAAAAGCAAAAACTTGATGTTAACAAAGAGCCATACTTGTGTTCTGTCTTTCGATGGGAAATGCTTACAAATCTTCTTCCAGTTTCTTCCATTTTCCGCCACTAGCTTAAGAAGCCTTTCATCATCATTTACTGTCCAGGGAATACCCAGATCAGGTCTATTAAGGTAATGTTTGTAACGATCCCTGATTTGGGACGTAGTTCTGTCACTCAGAAATTGGGAAATGCGTTGGAAGTTTTCTCCCCACCTTTTAACATACAAAATTCACGTCTTTAAGTTAATTTGAACTAAATGACAAAAACTCAACTGAGTTCAAAAGTTTAAAGTGAAGTGATACTAATTTAAAGCACAGTCTGTTGAGAGAAACAACCAACCAAACAACAAATCAATACTCACATCTGAACCCCAACCAGAATCATAATGTCCTCTTCCTGGGTGAAACGACCTTTCTTAATGGTAGGTTTGATTGAATAAGACCAACGATTAAAAACTTGGCTCTTAGTTCTTCCTTCCAAGTGGTAAGTCACCTAAACAAATGATTTCATAACCAAAACAAAAAAAATAAAATATAAGAGAATGGAAAAAAAGAAAGCAATTGAAAAAGATATTAAAACAGTTTGAGTAAAACCTTTGCCCAGGGAATGTAGTCTCCAATGCGGAATTTTTCCACAAGATTCTGTAGCCTCTGGTCTTCTTCAGGTTCCCACATACTCCTTTTAATATTCTCATTTAGCTTATTTTGGAACACAATGAAACATTGGTAGCCTGAACGATTAGTTCCCAACTGTTCAGCAATAAGATCCCAGTTTTGCTGTCTGGAAATAAGAAAAGAAAGACAGACATTGTTAAAAAAGCATCCAAAACTCAAAGTATTCAATACTGAAACTGTATCTGTGTAAAAATTTATGACACATACTTATATTTTTCAGCTAGGCTCAGAAGCTTTGCTTCTTCTCCTGGGGTATATGGTGCTTTGTTTATTTTGGGCTGAAGGTACAAGTTCCAAAAGCTACGACAGCTTTCAGGCGACTGCTTTCCTTCCAAATATTTTGCTGATATCTGAAGCCAATCGTGGTCTCCACTGGCAATGACTGCATCAACAGATTTTGAGACAAAATCACTTACATCAAATGCCTCTATTTCTAACTCAAGCTCAGTTGCCCTTTCAATGTTCCCAGCCTGTTTGGCAAAATCTGCATCTTTCCGAAGAGCGGCCAATTTGAACTGAGCTTCTATTTCACATTTTTCAGTGGACAACTTTTTAACAGCGTAATTCAGAATTTTTTTGTACTGAGGAATCCATTGGTGATACACCGGCAAATCAGTCCAACAAATTTCATTGTTCGTTTTCTTCAAGTGGTAGTCTTTGTTGTAAGGGCAGGGGTACAAATCATGTGTTTTAAAATATGGCATTCCAAAGATATAAATCCAATGGCTTTTTAAATTCATAGTAGCTCTCTCAGCATTAACTGCTGTAAGTTTTGAGTGCAATTCATCCAACTGCGTTGAGACCTTTGCAAGGTTCATTTTGATCTCCGCTTCAAGCTGAGCCAAAACTGCGTCGTACTCCTGGTTTGCTTCAAGGGCATCAGCCCACGAAGGGTCTGAGCTAATTTCTTCGACTGAATCTGATTCATTTTCTTCAGGCTCTGCTGGTTCAGAGAACTTGGAGTGATCCGTCTGAATTTGAGTATTATTGGGGGACTTGGATTTATCATCTTCCGAATCCGAGTCGCTGTTTAGGGCGACGATCGACTCGTCGACCGTTGTTGACAGAGCTGCGTCTTGGAGCCTGAGAGATTCCAAAAGCTGCACTTTCTCCTCTTCAGTGTCATCCATTTCTTTTCCATTAAAAACTAATTTTCTCGCCAAAAGTTCCGCTCGGCTTGCTTCGTTTGAGGGTTATGTTTCTCTGTTTTCGTTTTCAAATGGCCGGCCAAGTCTGTCCAACCAGCCCTGTGGAACAACAAAACCAAAAGCACGTAAATTGGGAATCGTATCAAAAGCTTTTAGGAATAAGCAAGAAAAATTATACCATTATCTGATTTTACCTCAAAATAATATAAAACCAATTTGTTATTCTGCCCGAGAAGATATTCATCTTTCGGAATCAAAAGTTTGTCAGCATGAGCCCCGATTCACTGGCGGGAATGCCTTCCGTTTCAAATACTTCACATTCCTGAAAAGACGATTGACGGCAAAATGCCACCAGAAGCAGCCACTTTATCACGACCTCATGCTTTTAATCTCCGTTTCACACATAACATTAAAATTGATCTTCGTGTTTTTAGGTTGATACCAAACAAACACTGGCTGTATGCCAACTGCTTCAGTTTGAAGAAGAGTAAGAAGAAGTAGATTGAAATGAAAATATAGCAACATTCCTTTTCTCCCTTCGAAGAGAGTTATTGCACAAAGTTTGCAACTTATTGCACGATTTTTGAATAGCATCAAAGGAGATCAAACGGCTGGGAAGAGACATCAATCTTGGTTACGACGACATGGAGGGGAAGTCCCTGGAACAAGTCATAACTGAGAATGGCGATGGCGATGGTGACATTCTCGCGGCGCTGGATAAGTATTTTGAAACGTCGTTCATGCCTCCTAGATCGGAGTTAACTAAAGATGCCATAAACATTTTATTAACTAAAGTCAGACAACGCCCAGAGGTAGACATCATGCAATACATTTCATTTAGTTGGTATGCCCATTGCATTAGTAAACTTTTTGGTTTCTTTGTTTCTCTAGTTATTTGTTCCATGGGTTGTCAAATGCTTTGATGACTTCAATTCCAATGAGGAGGTAAGCAAATGTCCTTTTATTTACCATGAGTTGACTTTTTTCTAAACGCTGTTCCTGACGGTTTTGAATTTTATTGCTTCCAGATTGAACGGGTATGGCTTGACTATTGTAAAGAACTATCCCAACTGTGGAGGGCATGTTTAGATGATGACGAAACATATGAAGTCCATTCAAGAGATATCTGTCGTATCTTTATCGTAAGTCAGGTTTTTAAGTTTGAATGGAGAATGTTATGAAGTTATGTTACATTGATCAAAAATTGTTGCTCATTAGAGTTTAGGTGAAAAAGGTGAACCATTAAGCTCAACACTTTTCAACACGTGCGCTTCAAAGTTCCTTGAACTCATAGACTCCAGTAATGTCCAGACAGGACTTAGTTCACTCACAGTCCTTACCACCCTCTGTAGGTTTTCAGAGCATAGCAAAATTGCTAGGACTTTTGAGCTGTGGGCTTACCAGTTGTAAGCACTCCAATTGATAGCATTAAATTATCTTGTTTTTAAAAACCAAGAAATAAACTGTCTGACCAATTATTTTTTCTAACCAGAAACAAATTGGCTGAAAGGGCAATTTCTTTGCCAGTGGAGGCACAGATAAATGTGTATATGATCCTCATAAAATCTATTTGCAGCAAAGAGGATGCTGTAGCAAAAGCTTCTCTATGGTTTGACCAATGGCCCAAAATTCAACGTACAATTCTAGATTATTACCCAGACAAAATAGCAGAGGTATTTTCTCTTAAAATAAATTCATCATGAACAGAACTACTTCTCTTTGATTCTTCAACCAAATTCATTTTGCAGGGTTGTGGTGAGTTTTTACAAGAACTTATGTGTCTGTCTGAAGCAACAAGAAATCCTACCATCCCAAGTGAGTCATTGGTCAGTTTTGTTCATTCCATTCAGATAGGGACGGTAGATTCTTATTATAGATTGTTCTTAATTGTTACTTAGTCACGGAGCCAGGGTTGGATTGTGCCCAGTTGGAACCTGTTACCCGCCACAAGAAGACGGACGAACCTATCACAGGTTCCTTGTGTGATGTTCCTATTCTATCTGAAAATTCTGGTTTGTCAGCTACACTGTGCTTTTCTTTAGGCGGGGGGAGGGACGAGACTGCTTTTCACTCATAGAATGTTCTCATTCCTCAGGCAAAGAGAAAAGATTGAAAGACTCTGCTTTTGATAGAACATTCGACACCTCATATCATTTTACAGAACAACCGAAGAGAGTTGGTAAGTCAGTTCTGTTGCGTTTTTTTCAACAGAGAGGTTGGAATAGAAATTGTTGTAATTGACGATTGGTAATAACAAGACTTGTCCGATTTGTCTCTAGGCAAAGAACATAGCAAGGAGAGACTTTATGCAGATCCTGTAGCCCACAGCACTGGCGTTGAGGAATCTATTGCAGATCCTGTAGCCCACAGCACTGGCATTGAGAAATCTATTGATTTCCTGTCCGATGTCACAGATGACCCAGATAACATTTCAAAACTATCCAAAAATGAGGCTGCTCCTAGATTCACCTTACGCAACAATCTTTCCTTTTTGCATCTTCCTAAACCTACAACTCAGATAGGTGACGATTTGGCACTTCCTGTTGAGCCACGCAAACATCAAAGATGTTTTAATTACATAAATGGCAACTGGTGCTTCAGATTCAAGAAATATTCAGAAGTGTCCTCAAAGGAGAGGTGGCCATCCTTCAAATGGAATTCTAGTAGGAAATAATATTTCCTCTCTGTTGGTTTGCTGTGAACTTATCTAAGATACTGGTTCCAATTTGTTTTTGTTCAATGTTTGTATCATTTCACTTATAATTTTTTTTGTTTAGCAATACATTTGTAGGCAATGGGTTACACTAAATAAAGTCACTTCTAACAACAGTTTTGTAATGTGGTATCCTTTACAATAGATACAAACAATTCATCAGCAACAATTCATATTTATTTACAACTAGAATAATATTCACAGAAAAAAGAAGCTTAGGCATATTTTACAGCAACAATTCATTTTATGGTATTAAACTTTATAATATCACCAAATTTTTTAGACACTTGGCCACAAGAACTCTCTCCACATTAGATAGCACAGTGATAGTTTGAACACTTAAAAACTACACACATAAAATCAACAGTACGTAACATCCTTGAAACAAAAAGGAATATTGAATCCTTCAACAATTTTTAATAAACTTGGAAACCTTTCTTTTCAGGAAAGAATGCATGAACGATAATAACCAGTACAAAGGATTTCTGTCATAGCAATGACAAAACCTGACGCTCATTTCTGTTAACAGCAATTAAAATAATTCAAAGAAAAATAAAAATCACGAGCACTAATTGACTTCAAGACTAATTTACATTACATAGTAAAATACAAGATATCTCGGCACACATTAAATTTACAATTAATTGGTCTGTGGGTTATTTAAACAAATCTAGAAGCAGGTAACTGAGACATAGCTAAGCAAAACATTCATATGGTGTCCCTGAATGTACAAAGTTCTATTTACAATTTAAATGTTAAAAGTCGTTTTTACTTCAATAGCAAATCTAGGTATCACAAGTATACACTGTGGTGCTTGGACCATAAAACTGAGCATACAGTAAATGTGCTACAAATTAATTACGTAGAGGGTCCAAACTCTCCAAAGAAAAGTCTTCATTCCCAAAAGTGAGGCCTCTGCTGAATCCATCCTGCAACAAGATGCAAAGTTGATTTTAGCAACAAAAAAAAATAATAAAAAAAATGAACAAACCGATGAACTGAGAGGCAGCTGAATATATTTTTGCTATCATACTCACTTTCATTTCCAAAAGTCTCTTATCAAGGAACCCAATGGCACTTTCAATGTCATGTTGTGAAGCATCATTATTCCCGGTAGTTGAAAATTCACCCATGCCGAATGGATCATCAGTCGCTCCCCCAACAGGGGCTTTTCCATTTGTATTCGATGAGAAGAATGCAGGTGTTCCAAATACGTCGGGTGATGCACCATTGCCATTCGTCATGGGCTGTGGACGACCTCTCACAGCTGACTTGCTAGGAGGGGGTGCCACTGAAACAAAAATGAAGCACAGTAAGTACAGAATTCTTCCTTTCAGAAATCGCTTAGTCAACTCTTGACTCACATAATGGAGCAGGGGTAGAAGAGATTCCGTTGGTCATTGGAAAGGGGTTGGCAACAGAAGGCACTGATGTGTTTGATGGTGCAACAGAATTCTCCTCTGCACGAGGATTGAAGTCCTCGTCCATCTCATCAAGCAGCAGGCCCTCCAGCTTGGTACCAACTGATGGAGCTGATGATGTAACTTGATTGTGCCTGACACGTAAACAAGTTAGTAACAATGACATGAGCAAATGAGGCATTTTTAGAAGCGCTTCCCTAGCAACCTACATCATGAAATTATTTTCGCCGGCTCGTGGTGGAATGGCAGGAGGAACTTGGCTCAGGGGAGACTGCAGTCCACTTCGTACTGGGGGCGATGTCGAAGAGTTACTGCTGTTCAACCCATTTGTGGATGAAGACGAACTGAAGTTGAGCAGCAATCCAAAACCATTGCTTTTTGATGAGCTAGTATTCATTCCACTGCTGAAAAAAAATCATTTTGAGAAGGCAATTCATTTTCAATTTAGTAGACCTTCATTTTGAATTTCTTACCTCGAACTGAAGTCTGAACCATTGGAAACTGTAGAAGTATCACAAACACTGGAATCTGACATTGATGAAGACGTATTACCAGAAGAACTATCCGCACTGCTAGTCGAAAGATGTGGCACCGACAATAGATCAAATATGCCATTTCTCTGCATGTAGTCCTCAACATCGGCCTGTTCCAGAGCAGATGAAGATAAGAGTGTGGCTCATGAAAAGCTGAAAATTTGCAATAATCTTCCACTTAAACTCACCATTCCTTTGATTTGAGAGACATCTGTAAGTCGTTGCCTTAGGACAATATTTTCAGCTTCCAACTTCTTAACGCGTTGAGTAAGAACCATCAATCGACGTTGCACTTCAAGATCTTTGCCTGAGGTTTCCAAAAACCGCCTGTACGCTAGATCAAAAGCTTGACCTATTGTAAGTGTGATGTCCTCAGCCTTCAGGGAGCAAGAAAATATAATTAAAGTTTACTGGTCTTCCAAAAATTTCCTCAGGCCAAAGAAAGTGAACTTAGACTCACCAGTTTGTCACTGACAAACACAAAGCATACATGCTTCTCCGCGTCAGCCTCTTTGGCAATGAAAGAAAAGAACTTCTTCTCTCCTTTATCATCAGCACAATATGAAATTCGGTGAAGAGGATACTGATGCATAATACGCTGAAATTGGAAAACAATTACAAACATGTTTATAAGAACAAATTTTTAATCGTGGGCAAATGTTAATTCTCAAATTTTCTTGTGACTACCTTTGTCTTTGGTTCTTGAATGGCTACACCATCAATACTGATGGTCAACTCTACTTTAGGAATTTTATTGCCCTCAGCTTTTCTCAACTGTTGGGTAAACTTTAATTTTCTGATGCCTTCCTTAACAACTTCAATTCCTTTGGGCTGCTCGACCTCTGTGCTCCCCATAAACTAACAAAAACAGAAAATTTAATGGTGGGTCAGATGCTTTACACTCAATTAAAAAGAAGCATAAATGTGACAGTAAGTAGTACCTTAACCAGGTAGACAATGTGACCGCGCTGCAAGGCATCAGGGGAGTGGATCCAATTACGGTTACCTTAAAGAGAAACAAACCTTATCTTAGTCAATCTCACAGACTTACAAATATGAGAAAGGTCATAATTTGACACCAACCAGCCTGTTTCGTGTTGTTATTCTGCGCCCATTTCAGCAGCGATGTGTTCCTCATGGTGTCTGGGTTTTTCTGGATGACACCTGAAATCAGAAAGAGAAAAAAAGGGTCAAACAAGGCAACAACCAGCCATCGTCTTTTATTACTACTACATCACTACACCACACGCCCAACGACAATAGACATTTTAAGACCGACAGAGCGAATCTTCGAAAATCAGTCTCCTGGAGCCTCCAGGTTGGAGGTCGAGAATAGGGAAAACTGATCCTGGAGACACTCCAGTAGGCTGATGCTGAAGAGTTGATTCGTCGCTCTGCCTCTGTCGCACCAGAGTGATACGCGCTACGAGTGCGAGAGAGACAGAGCGGCGTCAGCCTGCTGGAGCCTCCAGGCTGGAGGTCGCGATAAGGAGAACGGAGCCTGGAGGCTCATCTTGCCTGTTGGCTGGAGCCGCGGAGCAGCGCGCCGCACCGCGCAGCACCGCGCCGCACCGCGCAGCACCGCGCAGCCTGCCCATACTTGAGCCGAGCCGAGCCGAGCCGAGCCGGTGCGGCCGAGACGGGACGCGCCGTCGCCGACTGGTACGGTCTCGTCAGGAGCAGAGGAAGGGGAGGGGGAAGTCCACGCCGCGCCACGCCGCGCCACGCCCCGCCACGCGCCGATCAGATGGCCTGCCCTATTAGACGCCATCAGGACGCGACACTGCCAGAAGTGTCATCGCCAATCGTCTGCCCACGGGGAGGGGACCACTGCACAGTGGACCAGAAGACCGGTGGCGGCGGCCAAAACTCCAGACGCGTTTTGAGCCCTAGAGTCGCTAAACAGGACTAGAACCGAACGAGTGACCCCCACCAATGGATTCCTCGTTCGGAGAGTAATCTATTGGTGCGGACACACGTTCGGTCCGAGTCCCATTTAGCGACTCGGCAGATCAAAACGCGAGACTGCTCCACAACGACGCTTCGATTCTCGCGGGTAGCGCCAACCGCATGCAGAGCGAGTCGCCAGCACGCCGCCCAGACAAAGAAACGCCATTCACATTCATATCGAGATACCGAGGTAAGCAAGCACATTGCGCCACCAGTCACCCGCATTCCCAGGATAAGGCAAAACGGGCCTCTTTCAGGCTCGTCGCTCTGTCTCTCTCGCACCCCTGTGGGAGGCTCTACGAGTGCGAGAGAGGCACAGCGACGAGGGCGAACCCCTGGGAGGTAGGCAGTGAGGACACTCCGGTGCGCTCTGTGGCAGTGGTTGCCTACCCGGCAGGCGCCCTCAGCCAGGCATTGACCACGTGTTGGGTTGACGCCACTCATGCGCCCCCATCACTCGTCTAGCCCGAGACGTACGACAAGAAAAGGGGGCCGCTGACCCCTCGCTGCCCCTGCGCTGCACGCCAGATGGTTGCTCGCTGGGTGGCGCCGGACGTCGAGGGTCCTGGGGTTACCCACTAGCAGCCCCCGCCCAGGAACGTCTGGGAAAAGTCTTCTTCCAACGGATCTAGAAACGCACTACGCCCAACCATGCTCCAAAACCAAACCAAGACTACAGGCTCCAACAGCCAAATGAACAAAAAAAAGGGCTTACGTTTGCTGGAGGGAAGGACGTTCACTGCAACCCGCCGCATCCTACTTGAGCAAGCCCTGCCAACCAACCCACAGCCAAATCAGCACAACGCTCTGGGACAAGCAGCACAACCAACCCTCCCAAAAAGCAAAGCGAAATAGAATGTCAAACTTTTGTTGGGTCACTTTCGTCACCCCACGCCACGCCCACCCCATGGGGACCTAAACGCAGAGACATGAACGCCCGACGCGAACCAGAGTTTCGAGGGTCTTTGGTGAGAAAGGGGCCTACACTGCCTTCCGTCAAACCTCGGCAAGTCCTCCGGGAATTCCCAAAATTTATTTTACAGTGTTTCTCACTGTAAGCAACTCCCGCCGCGAACGCTCACCGTTGACGATATACAGCCAGTCGCGGGCCAGTTGGTTTTCGACGTGTTGGCACGACACTGCCTAGCGAGACCGCACCACAATGCACGTCGCGCCCTGCTCACGCCCGGGCCGCCTAGGCCGCCGAGGCGCAGTGACAACAGCAACGCCCTTGTGCCCGCCCGCCCCGCCCCGCCCCGCCACGCAATCGGCTTCATTTCACACCCCTTGCGTCACCGCGGGTCATGCCGACTAGCCGTCCCATTCCAAGCCATTCCTGGCACGTCGCGAAGGAAGTCAAAACAAAGCACCGACACCGCAGTCACCGCGCGCACACTTTACTCGTCCGCTTCAGAAAGCAAAGCGCCAACAGCGGGTGGAGGGAGCGGTGGCTCCACTGTTGAAAAGAAAATCAGCAGTCGCACAGTGGATTTGCCAGAAGACCGGTGGAGGCGGCCAAAACTATAGACGCGTTTTGAGCTCCAGAGTCGCTAAACAGGACTTGTGCGACCCCACCAGATTCCTCGTTCGGAGAGCAACCCATTGGTGGGGTCAAACGTTCGGTTCGGTCCCATTTAGCGACTGTGGAGCTCAAAACGCGTCCAGGATTTGGGCCGCCCCCACCGATCTTCTGGCGCACTGTGAGCAACTCGGGCCCGGCGAGAAAGTCCGCCATTTCCCCCGGAAAAGTGGCGAACCCCGGTCAGTCGGCACAAACGGCGTCAGTGTCCACCCCCCGTTTTGCAAGCCTGATGTTCCTTTTCGAGCCTCGTCGAAACAGCCTCCGCCTTTCCCACCAGTTTGCCTCACAATGGCGCCGTTTTCTCAGCAGACTGGCTGCGCGTCGCGTTCCGACTTCCAGGCCTTGCAGTGTGGGCCCCCGAGGCGGCGCCTGCGCACCGCACTCCGGATACGTTCGGGATTTTCATCTCCATTGTCCCATCCGTTCTGCCGAGGGTTTTTCTCTGGTCCCCTTTCCACACTAGTGCCCCTGCTGCCCGGAGGCGGAAACACTTTTTGTGCACCAGAAACTTGAGGGGGAAAAAAAATCTGCCTAGGTATTTTGACACAGGTGTGGGAAGCCTCTTGCGCGGCTCGGGTTCAACACCGGGCAAGGGGGTACACACGAGGTCTGCTCGGAGCGTTTCAAACCAGCGAGACATTCCAAGCGACCGTCTCGGCAGTCCTAGCTCAAAATTGCCGACACGAATTCAGGGGCACCCCGTGCATCTCCAGAGCTTTCTCCCAGCCAATCGTCGCGTCGCTGTCCACGCCTCAATTTAACTCCCCCTCGAGCAGACGCTTCGTCACACCCCGTCCAGCACTTCGAGAGCCGTCGCCGCTCTCTCTCTCTCGCACGCATACCGGACGCCGCGTGAGTGCGAGAGAGACAGAGCGACGAAGAGGACTCCCAGAATCAGTCAGCTGGCGCGATCAGAACACCATTCGGAGAAGATTTTCTTTCAGGTTTCCAGTCACACGAAAAACACAAAATCAAGAAGGCTGCATTTCGAAGGGCCCAGAGGGACAGACAGCGCCAAGATAGGTCAATAGCGTGCCCTCCAAGGGAACACGAAAACGACGAATGCACCTCGCGTCGCGTGGACCAATCATGTTTTATTCAGAGCGCGCGGCTAGCGCGGCCGCCACTTCGTGAGAGCGCCCCGGAGAGCGCGCCGCCCGGCCCCGCCCGGCCCCGCCACACCAAACATTGTTCCTTTCATACGCCGCGCACCGCCGCGCACCGCAGGCAGAGATGCAACAAAATTTTCCAGCGGGGTGGGTACAGAACTCACACCACACACAAAAAAAAAATTAAAACAATTTTAAAAAGCTTGGAGGAAAATTCATGACAAAGTTCGAATTTAAATTTTATAAATCCAGGTCTTAAATTTTATATTCATTTTAAATTAAATCATTCTTTCATCTCTTTTTCTCAGAGAGAAAGAGCGAGAGAGCGTTACTGCCTACTCCGATAGTGTACAAGCGAACGCCACGCGTACTCCCTGGAGGCCTGCGTCGCGTCAAACACGAATCAGAATCCTCTCCACCAGTCGGGTCCCGCCCCCTCCGCCAGCCTGTCTCCACACCATTAAAACCAAATCAGCCGAGCGACGGGCCGACAGAGTGGCCGACACAAAAGGAGGCGGTTCCGAGTCCCAATCCAAATCCAAGTCCCGATCGAAGTCCAAAGTCGATCCGGGGCGAGGATAAGGCGGGCGGCAGCCAGACCGACGGGGAAGTCCCACGGCCCGCCACACCGCAAAAAAAAAAGTATAGAAGAAAAGTGCCGCAACAAAGGGCCAGGCTCGTCATTCTCGGACGTAAAAATTATGACGCAACCTCACAGAAGATTTGGCTGGGATGGCTGTTTCACGCGAGGGAGATTGGGTTAGGAACCGGTCGGAACACACTGCGGGGAGAGACAGTCGAATTTTCAACTCCAACATTTTCTGGACAGACAACAAGATTCCGTACAGTAGTACGGAACGTCCGTACATTTTCCGTGCCAAACTCCAGAATTTTTCACAGTGTGCTCCTCGTTCCCGAAATTCCTTTCGCAGTGTAGGGCTCCACAGCTGCAGCAGGCTGCAGCGCCCCCAAGGTCACCGCGGTTCGCACCGCGACCTTCGCGTACTTCCTCTTTTTTCCGCGGCAAGTCGCCGAAGATTCCGAAGACTCCGCGTCTCCTTCGCACTCGCGGGGCGTCCCGCGGGGTGCGAGAGAGACAGAGCGAGCCAACGCAACACGCGTCGTTGCCGCCAAAACGGAGACAAACATTTTTCCAGCGGAGAAAGTGGCGCGCGGTGAAGCGACAACTGCACTACACTGCACAACCCACTGCACTCGCAGAAAAAAAAATAAATCGAATTTTGGCAGCTGCACGGTACACTGTCAGTCACATCGGCGTCTAAAAACCGACTTTGTCTACGCAAATACGTAGTAACTCATGGCGAACGAAGGATGATTTCGCCTGAAAGTGGCGACACATTTTTACAGTGCAACCTTCCCCTCCCGAACCCCTTCTGCCCCTGGCTTGACCCGGTGCATGCTTAGAGCCGCTCATCTCGTGCAGCAGACTGATGCCGAGTCTCTCTCTCTCGCACGCATGGGGTGCGCCCTACAGGTGCGAGAGAGATGAACGACTCAGTCTACAGTCTCCTCTGGTGCCGGTCCGTGCCGTCGCAGGGCCGAGAGAGGCGAAAGGGAGGGGGAGGGGGGACCACTCACTTCACTGACGGGTACCGTTAGCACCGCACCGGTGCCGCGACTTCACTCTCGGAGTCGGAGGGCGAGGGTTCGATCCCCGGCCGCCAGAGAGCGAAGCGCGCAGCCGCCGGCGCCGCCGCGGTGCGCGCACCCACACCAAGGCCGGGAGTGATTCACAGCGAAGTACAGCCAGACTAGGGACCCTGCCGCTGGCTGCCAGCTCGCCTGCCCGCCCGCCGCGGCCGGAAATCGTCAAGACTGCTGCAGCCGAAGAACCGAAACGCCGACCTTCCTCAATTCAGTGACCTTCACGCACGGAGGAAACAAAATGTCCTCGGAAAATTATCGAACAAACAATTTTTGGACAAACAATTGTGAATTATACCAAATCTGATGACAAAATTATGACCGGCCAAGAACAGCCAAGCGGCATACAGACACACCGACCCACAGACAGACAGACTCAAAAGCAATATGCCGCGAGCAACGGATTGAGTCATTGCCGGTGTGTGCCGCATGTCCACTGTGAGACTGCGTGTGAGTGTGTGTGTGAGAGAGAGTATGCGCGAGTGCGCACGCCTTTGTGCATACACGGGTACGTACAGTGTGTACCCGCCCAGCCCGCACCGCACCTAATCCACAGCACCACAAGCGTTCCAAAATAGCATTGTTAACGCTCACGGTTTAAAAAATTTTGAAAAAAAAATTAAAGAAGTTGAAGTCAAAAAAATTGATTGTCTCCTTCCAAAATTTAAATACAAAAGAGAAGTTAAATTTAAAAAAATTAAATTAAAAAAAAACAACATTCAATTTGGGAAAAAAATTAAATGTAAAGAAAAATTGAAGTTAGATAAAAATGTAAATTTTTGTGAAGTTGCGACGCCCTGGCCAAGGGGGCACCTAATCCAGAGCACCACAAAGCACGGCCCCAGCGATTGTACAGTCCGGCCGCACTCATAAAGCAGAGTAACGGGGCATTCTTACTTTCTGGAGCATCTATACGAACATGTCCGCCTGCAGCAGCAATTTACGGTGCACACGACGGCAATCAAGTCCTACACTGGAGACAGACCAGGCCGACCAGGCCAACCCGCGGACAGAGTATAAGGCACTGCACTGGAATGCAGCGACCAAACGCTTCCACATTTCATGTGCACTTTCAGCTCGTGCGGCATGAACCCTGGAGCTTGCCAGTGAGGAAAATCAGCCTCGCAAGTGGGCTAGAAAACCGGTGGTGGCGGTCAAAATCCCACACGCGTTTTGAGCTCTAGAGTCGCTAAATGGGACTCGAACCGAACGTGTGACCCCACCAATGGATTGCTCTCCGAACGAGGAATCCATTGTTCGAGCCCCTTTTAGTGACTCCAGAGCTCAAAACGCGTCTGGAGTTTCGGCCACCTCCACCGGTCCTCTGGCAAATCCACTGTGCATTCCTCGGATTCCATCTCGCTTCCGATTGGCGGAACTCGCGGCGGCCGAACAGCCTTCGTGACGTCATGGCG